TTTGCCCTCTGAGATGATCTGGGATGCTGAGAGCCTCTTCCAGGGCTCACACTCTCACACCTCTGGTGGTCTGAGCTCTGTGGCTGCGGTGCAGGTGAGCCTAGCTGCTGCTGCTGGGGTGCAGTGCTTTGGCCCGACCCAGCCGTGCCTTTCCCCTGCCATCAGTCCTGTGCTTGCTGTGTCCTGCCTCCTAGCAGCCCTCTGAGCCCTGTCCCTTCCTTACCTCACTGTGTCCTGCCTCCTAGCAGCCCTCTGTGTCCTGTCCCTTTCTTACCACAGCCACAGTCCCATGTGAAGCTGCCAAGAGTGAAATTTGGGAGCTGGCAGGAAAGAAGAGTTTGGAGTCAAGAGGAAAGAGAGGGAAGAATGAGTTTTCTGAGAGTGCCTGCTCCCTGCAGGCACAAGGTCTGGGCGGCTGCTGGGAGCAGAGGGATGTTGGGACAGACCATTGCTGGTGTGACATTAGTGACTCACAAAGCACCCCAGCCCAGGGCTGGCATTGTGCAAACGGGCAAAGCACAGCAAAACCCCCACCTCCTCACTGGAGGAACTTGTCTAAGCAAACAGTGAAACCAGAGTGCAAGTCTCACTTTAAGCCTTTCTTTTGGGTTTTTAAGAATGTCTGCTGTGCTGCGTGGATACTGTACTGTTGGTAATTCTTGAGAAAAAATTGTCCAGATTCATTTTTCCAGAGATTTTCAGCCTGAGTGCCTTGACTGGCCACAAGTGCGCATTGATTTGCCTCCTGTTGCCTAAAAAATATGATGGGAAGTCTGAGGAGCTCTGTGCTGATGCCTGCCCTTGAGCAGCTGGAGGCTGCTTACATCTCAAGTGCCTCAACAGTGGAGTCCTCTTCTGAGGATGACATTTTCCTCCAGGCATCCCAAAAAGCCTGGTTTTGACAGGTCTGGTTGCGACACTGCAGCAGATAAACGAGTGATTGTGTGTACAAACTGCTGGGGCACGGGGAGCTCGGGGGGAATGCTGGGGTGTGTGCTTGGTCTGGGCTCTGCCCGACAGAGCAGGGCTTGTACTCTCCCTCAGCAGAAAGCAGCCAGGCTGGCCTGGCATCACTGCCTGTGTCCATTCTCCTGTGCAATATTTCCCCATGGCTTTTAGCCTGTCCCTACTGTTCAGTGCAAGTCTGTGTCCTGCTGTTCTCTTCAGACAGTATCCTAATTATTCTGAATATTCTCTCTGCAGTCAGAAATTTCCCTGAGTCATACCTAAATGTTAATAAAAGCCTAATGGTTTATGTTAAGGAAGGCAAGAGATAAAACTAGAGCCCTTTTATCACAGCCTTTAATGGCCTGAAAATGTCAGTTGTGTGGGAGCAGCTGCCAAATTTTGAGCCTATGAAGATGATGGCTAAGTCCCACAAATCAACAAGTTTGGAGCGGATTATCCGATGCTGGCTGTGTCATTTTCCCAGGACTCCAGGCATGCTGGAAGCCAACACTTTAATCCTCTCTGATATGAAGTCTGAAAGGGGCCGGGCTCCCCTTCTCACTCCGGAGCTCTGGAGCTGCTGCAGCGTGGAGGGCAGGGGCTCTGGGCCGCAGCTTCTGAGTCACAAATTAGCTCCAGCTTTGCTTGAGAACTATTTTTAAGGTCACAAACACAGGATGCAGAAATCAGCGCATTTCATGGTTTTCCTGAGAGCTGCCTCACCACTCCTCTTCCTCCTTCTGTTTCCAACAGACTTCCTTCCCGAAGGGACATCCTGCATGCCCAGGGCTGGGGAGCTGTAATGGAAATTCTGGGAAATCGCTTTTTATGCTCCTTATAGGCCTGGGATAAAGAGCTGAATTCACACTGTGAGGACAGCTGAACTCTTGAGCTCTGATGTAGCTGGAAATCTTTTATCTCTGTCCCATTTTGTTTCTGCAATCGCACTCAGGGGTTAATCTGAGTTACCATCCTCTTAGCTGTGGCCCCTTGATTTGAATTCATTTGCATCACTTGTGAAGTTTGCAGCAATAGCACAAATTGCATGTGCAGGGGCACAGCAGTGTCCCCTCGTCCTGGCAGGGCATGGGGGCTGTGCCCAGCTTCACCCCCATCAGAGGCTCCTCATCAGTGACAGAGTGGCAGAGTCAACATCTTGTGGGCAGGAGGTTTGGATCTGGAGTCAGCCCACAGTTCTGTGAGTTACTGGGTACCCAGAGTGTGTCAAAGAAAAATAGAGGCAATACAGTAAATGCCCATGGGGTGTTTTAAAATGCAGATTACAGAAAGAGATTGGTTTTGGAAGAAAACATTTATTCTTTTCCCACTTCAGGATAGGACAGCTTGATTTAAGAAGGAGTGAGATTTAACCCCTTCCACTTGCAGATGGCCTTCCATTCCATTCATCCAGTGCAATTCCCAGCTGTGGTGACGGGCTGGTGCCTGCAGAAGGAGGTGACTTGGCTGCATCCTGTTTACTGTATCGTGATGGAGTTAGCTGTCCTCTGGGTGCCGTGGGGTATGGGTAGCAGCAGCACAGCATGTCATCCCTTCTTTGGACCCGGGAGAGGGAAATAACACGTGTCTCCTTCCCGTCCGTGTGTTGGAAGATGTGATGTCATTTGAAGAAAGGTGTTTCAGAGGAAGGATGTGTGCAGCCAGAATAAAGCTTGGCCTGGGTTAGAATAGTTACATCCTGTTTACTGTGGAAAACACTTTGCACTGATATGAGCTCTGAAATACATGATTTATAAGCAGACGGGCGCTGCAGATAAGGGACTTCCCGTGATTTTGGCCACCTGTGAGAAGAAAGAGCCATGTCTTTCAGGCTGGCAGGCAGTGATGCTGGTCCCAGCTCCTGCACAGCTGCCATGGAGAGGAGGTGCTGAGCGTCCCTTGGGGTCCCAGGTGGCCGGAGATGCCTCTGTGCCTCAGTTTCCCTGCAGGAAAGAGCCTTGTAAGCTTCAGGTGGTGATATTCTCAAAGAGTAATGAAGAAGAGCTAGAGATAATCATCCATAAGACAAGTAAATAACCCCAAGTGAATTTCTAAATAGCTGACTGTGAAGGGAAGGAGTCATTAAATCAGAAACATGAATGGCTTGCCATGTCCTCTGTACAGTATGAAAAAAGTTGTGTGGCCAGTTACAGAGAAAACATACACATTTAAGAATTTGGGCTGTGATTTTAGTTTTTACTAGAATGAATTGCAGTTAAACTGCAAAATGCATTTAGCATTGCATCCACAAACTTGATCCTTTCGTCTTGGTCCCCTAAGAACAGAGCTACAGCTTGGAATGTGCTGCCCCATTTGGCCCTCGTCTGAGCAGAAGAAGTTTTCCACATCAGGCTTTGTTACTCCGTATCTGGCCACGGGCTCTGCTGGGGCACGGGGGACCAAGGTCAGGGTGGTTTTTTGGAGAGGACCCAGCCTGTCCCTAGTGCAGTGTGTCTGTGCTAGCCCAGCAGCAGAGACACGAGCCCTGGATGTGTCTGCAGCAGCACGATCCCTGTGCTCAGGGGTGAGGGGCTGCTGTGGGCTGTGACTGCTCTGCTAGCCAAGCTGTTTGCTCACCAGCTGCTGCACAGCTCCTGGTGAGGTTTGCTGCTGTGCTCTACCATGCAAGGAGGGCAGTGGCAGTGCCACGGCCTGCAGTGCCCATGCTGGCTGCTCCCAGCACTCGTGCATGGCAGGGAGGTCACCAACCCCTGTGGCCGTCTGTCTGGGGCTTTGTTTCTTCTGCTGCTGCAGGGGCACCATCCCTTGCTTATGCATACAAAGCCCCTTCACTTTGCATTCCTTTTGGGTTTTAGCATGTTTCTTCCCCACTTGTCCCCAGCAATGTTTTGCTGTGGTGTGGCACCAACCCAAGACACGGTGGTGGCTTGGGGGCAGATCTGCATGAGGCAAGAGTTGCACCCCAAAGTGGGATGACCCTGCAGAGAGACCCTGCCCAGTCTCACCCTCCTGTGGCAAAGCCTAAAGATTTGCTTAATCTTCTGAACTGTCTGGAGAGAGGAGAGAGCCAAAGCTTTATCTTGGTTCCATTAATGAAATAGTGATGATGAGTAGGGAATTAGCATCCAGGCCCTGGTATAGCCCAGGGAGGAAGGACTGTGCTGGACAGGCTGGTGGTCACCTTCTGCCTGGTGGAAACTGCATTCCCATTCCCTGACAGATACAGCCTCAAATCCCTGCATTTATTCTGCTTAAATTCAGACTTCTGTCAGCTTCTGTGGCAGCGCTATCTGCCTTATGACTGGATTCAGAAAGGCATAAATGTGCTTTGTCCTCGGGGTGTGGGATGCAACCCTGCAGGCATCTCTCGCTGGAATTTTGTGCAGGCACTTCCCACAGCTGGGGCTTGGATTGTGCGCAGGTGACTGGGATACCTGCTGGAATGCCAGCCCTGCCGAGGAGTGTGACAGCGCGGTGACAGCGTGCCCTGGGCCACACCTGGGGTGACACTGTGCATGAGTGGTAATGGCCCTCGAAACGTGCTCATCGTTTGAAGGGCTCCAGCTGCACCTGCTGCAGCTCAGGAAACTGCTGCAGGAGTGACTGCGGGTGAATTGTTGGCAGTGAGGCTGTTGTGATGTTCAGGCGTTGTCGAATCCATGCAAGTTGTCTGAGGAGAAATTACACGAGAATCTCAGAGCATTTGGAGTGAGGGGATCATAAATCTTGGGCGCATCTTGGCAGGGTAGTAGGAATATGAGGCATCAGTCCCGCTTGCAAATGCTGCTGTCATGCAGCAAATGCACTAATTAATTTAGCACAGGAGAGTCAAGCCTGTTGTCTTGCTTTCGGCCAAACAAGTCAAATGCCTGCTCACAGACACGGGTCAGTGGCAGGTCCTTAGGCACTGCCTTTGCCCCCCGGCCCCTGGCAGTGGATCCATGCGGGAGCCCCTCTGTCAGCCAGGGCCGGCTGCCTTTTGCTGCCCCGCGGCTCGGCAGAGCGGGGCTCTGGGGGGTCTGTCCCCGCTGCAGAGGGCTGGCAGGGGAGCACGCCGTGCCTGTGCAGCCTGCTGACCTCGTGTCTCCCCGCAGCTGCAGCCGGAGCAGCTGGACTGCGGAGCCGCGCACCTGCAGCACCCGCTGGCCATCGTGAACCCCGTCACGGCCACCCCCGTCTTCACCCACAGCGGCCTGACCGCCGTGGCCGTGGCCAGCGTCAACAACTACACCGTGGTGTTCCTGGGCACGGCCGGTGGAGGACTCCTGAAGGCAAGTGGGGCCAGCAGCAGCAGCACGGGGCACGGGGCACGGGGCTGGGCACGGGGCTGGGCACGGGGCTGGGCACGGGGCACAGGGCTGGGAACAGGGCTGGGTACGGGGCACAGGGCTGGGCACAGGGCTGGGCACAGGGTGGCTGCTGAGGCTGGGCACAGGGCTGGGTACGGGGCACGCGGCTGGGCACGGGGCTGGTACGGGGCTGGGCACAGGGCTGGGCACAGGGCACAGGGCACAGGGCTGGGTACGGGGCACACGGCTGGGAACAGGGCTGGGTACGGGGCACAGGGCTGGGCACAGGGCGGCTGTCGGGGCTGGGCACAGGGCACAGGGCTGGGTACGGGGCACGGGGCTGGGCACGGGGCTGGGCACGAGGCTGGGCACGGGGCTGGACACAGGGCTGGGTACGGGGCACGGGGCTGGGCACAGGGCTGGGCACGGGGCTGGGCACGGGGCTGGGCACAGGGCTGGGTACGGGGCATGGGGCTGAGCACGGGGCTGGGCATGGGGCTGGGCACGGGGCACAGGGCTGGGTACGGGGCACAGGGCTGGGCACAGGGCTGGGCACGGGGCTGGGCACGGGGCACAGGGCTGGGCACGGGGCTGGGCACGGGGCAGCTGCCGGGGCTCCCCCTCCCAGCACCTCTGCTCTGCCCAGAGCCTGGCACCTGCTGTCCCTTGGCTTCAGCACCTGCTTCCTTCAGGCAATGAGGTGCTCGGGTACTGCCGTAGCCTGGACAGTGGCACACGCTGCCCGATGACTGGTGGCTGCTAATCACTGCTCAGGGCTGCCATGGGAGCAGGATGCTTTTGATAAACCCTAAGCTGAAAATGCTATTGCGCGGCATTGAATTATAAATTAACTTTATTAAACTATTTTATTAATTATATTAATATAATTTTAAAACAATACCATTATATGCACACAATCTAACTTTAATTACAATATTTTGTTATTGTTTTAATTGTTGAAGTTATTAAAATTATTAAAAGCTCTTCTAATAAATTCTCCCTCTGAGCTGCTGGCTTTTGAAGACTCCATGTAGACAGGGGAATCACAAAGAGATTCTTCTTCACAGCTGAATCCAAAGCAGGTGTGAACCCGTGGTAGAGTCTGTTCTAAATAACGTGCAAGAGGTGATGCAGGGTGAGCAATGCCCCAGCTCTGCAGCCAGGACACAAGGCCAAGCCCTCAGTAGCCTTAGTGCTTGAAGTTTGCCAGAGAAAGTTTTGATTCCAGGCAGCCACAGCAGTCTGGTAAACTGCCAGTATCAAAAGTCCATAGAGAAGAAGAGGAAAATGCCTGGAGCAGAGACAGCTGATACCTGCTTTATCTCTGCCTGGGGGGACTGATGCATAATGTGGGATACTGGATCAAAATACTTGGGTAGAAGAAAACTTACGCAGTTTCTTCCCTTGCATCTCAGTGCTCCTGGCAGAAATGTGGGAACAATCACGCAGAGGCTCCCTGCTTTGATTGCTGCCCACAGGGGCAGGTGATCTGTGAGGGTGGGAGGGAGCTGGCGCTGGGCCGGGCAGGGCTGGGGGGCACATGCCACACACAGAGCAGCCTGTTCACACGGCATTAACAGCTCTGCTCCATTATCAGCTGGAGAGACCAGCCTTATCTGCAGGGCCTCCATTAGGGAGAGGCTCCTGGCTACCCTGGGCTGGGATAATTTGCTCAGATAGCTGTAATCTAATTCCACAACACAGCTGCATAACCAGAAGCCCTTCTACCTTTGGGGCTCCTTGCTCTTTGGCATGGGAGACAAGGTACTTGGTGTGAGCAAATCATTCAGATCTGTTGCCTGAGAAAAGACAGCAGAGGGGCAGAATTAGTGCTTGCCCAGCTCCTGCCAGCAGCAATTAGGGCTACCAGGGGCATGGCCAATTAATGCAATTCTGGCTGCAGACTGGCATTTGGTGAGACCAATGTAGCCATCATGAGAGGGTCAGCAGTGCTTGGGCAGCACAGCCAGGGCAAGACGTGCCAGGGTGCAGTGCCCTCAAGGCAGGGGTGGGAGGCAGGGGTCTGTCCTGTGTGTGCAGGTGTGGAAGTGCAGTGTGGAAGCAGATGAGGGCTCTGGTGGCGTGACCCAGGGCAATCCTGTCCTCCAGCCCAGCCTGCTCCCCTGCCGCGCCAGGACTGGAGGTCACTGCCTCTCTGTGCTGCTGTGGGGGCTCTCCCCCAGAGCCTGAAGCCCCCTGGAATCCAGGAATTGCCTGTGTGAAGAGGGTGTAGGGTGAACCTGCCCAGGAGGCAGAGGGAGCCAGGCACGGGTGTCTGTAACCAGCCCCGCGGAGCACATCTCAGCAGAGAGGGAGAGGGGATGCACTGGGGAATGTCAGGGCTCGTTCATGGATTTCTTGGGTGATCCCAGGGAAATAATTTAGCTTCTGGCTAGCCAGCTTTTGAAATGGACACAGTGATAGCACCCTTTTTCTGCATAGCTCTCTGTGCTATGTTTCTTAGCAGAGAGAAGTCTGAGCCTGTGCTGTCAGACTGGGGTGTGTCAGTGCTGCTCTAGTGTAAGAATTAATTAACCTATGTTAATTAATTAATCCACATTTAGAGAACAGAGGCACACTTGGTCATTACAATTATTGCCTTCCCTTGCTAGTAAGGAGGCCGGAATTTTCCTCTCTCCCTTTCTGTTTTAAGCTGAAAAGTGACTGTCACGAGAAATTGTGTAGCCCCATTGTTATTTCCTCTCAGCAATGCCACATTTAATTTACTGAATTTTCAAGTCAAATGCCAAGACATTCAGAGAACTGAAAGGCAGGCTGATGCTGTGCAGCCCCCTCCATCACTGCCAGCACTTTGGTTGGTGATTCATGAGGAAAGGTAGGACTTGGCACTGTCGTGGCAGCTGCCGTGGTCTTCTGGAGTCAGCAGGGATAGAAGCTTCTTCTGGCTGGGAGTGACAACACTTATTTTTCAAATATGCAGGGAGCAGGAGGTGCCATGCTGTACAGCCCTGTTGCTGATTTTCACTGTTTTTCATTAAGTTGTGGAAAGTCAATGTTCTCTGTACAGAATGCGTGTGTGCTGAGGCCTGAAGGCTGGTGCCACTTGCATGAGGGTGACACAAAGGCTGCTGTGCCTGCTGGAGGAAGCTGTGCAGGGGTACAGCCTCCACGTGCCAGAGGCAGCCCCTCAGAGGGACCAGGGACAGCGAGGGTCCTGCATCACTGAGCAGGGCTGGGGCTTTCTGGGCTGTGCCGTGCCTGCCCAGTGACACAGAGCTGACTTTCCAGGAAAGCTCTGGAAAAGCTCTGTGTGTGCAGCCTGCAAAGTGTGCAGACATTCACAGTGCTTGGGCACCACTGAATACCACTCTGGTTTTTATTTATAACCAAGGAGAACTAATCTGCTGCCCTTAGTGTTTGAAAATGGTCTCAGTGAGTGGCGTCTTCTCTCCACAGATAAACCTGGACAGTACGATGAAGGTTATTAGCAGGAGATCCATCTCAGTGGCTTACGGAGAGCCTGTCCATCCCATCATGCAGTTTGACCCTTCTGATTCCACTTACCTCTACCTGATGACCTCTTACCAGGTGAGACCTTCAGTCCTCAACAAAACAGTTCTAGGAGCACAGCATGCATTTGATTTAGCTTAGAGGTGGGAGCAGAAAGGGACAATAAGGTTTTCTTTAATGGTGAGAGCCAAGATGTTCAGAGCTGTGGCTGTCACTGGGCTTTCTGGGGAGGTGCCTATCCATTCAGCCCAACTTATCAGGTCTTTGTGGTGGTCAGGTAAAAAGAAGAGTGAAAGATACTGGGAGCAGAAAGGGACAATAAGATTTTCTTTAATGGTGTTCAGAGCTGTAGCTGTCACTGGGCTTTCTGGGGAGGTGCCTATCCATTCAGCCCAACTTATCAGGTCTTTGTGGTGGTCAGGTAAAAAGAAGAGTGAAAGATACTGAAACTGACTGCACTTATGGGAGTGCAGAAATAAGCATAGAAATAAGCAAAGGTTGTTCCTGTACAGAAACCCCAAAATGACAGTACATGGTTTTTAGGGAGGCTTTCAGGAGATCCTACAGACAAAAAGTGCCTGTCAGAAGTGGTCCCTGGGGAGATTTCTGCTCAGTGCTTGGCAGGATGGCTCTGCAGAGAGCTGGAGAGCTGCAGCAGGTACAGACAGGCAGTCCCATCTCCGTCAGGTTAACAGAGTAGGAAGATGAGAGCTGAGCGCTCCAGGCGCTGAGGGTTTGTCCTGAATTACATTTTAATCTGTCAAAACAGATGCACAGCCCCAAATGTTACATGTTGCATTTGTATTTTCCGAGCTCTAATTCCCTGCAGATTGGTCATTATCATTTCACAGCCCCCTCCCAGGAAGCCTCTTTAGCTGATGGCTCCGACTGTCTCATCTCAGCCCCTGGCTGGGCTGTGCCCTCCACTCAGGCTGATCAAACAACTGCTGTGGTGCTCGTGCTGCCTCCTCTGACTGCTTCTTTTCCAATAAATCTGATGAGTAGTTTCACTTTGGTGGAGAGAGCACCCTGGGAAGCTCCCCAGGAGTTTGACAGGCTTGGGGTGGGTCTGCTGAGCCCCGCAGGGCTGGGGAACAGTGAGGTGCTGCGAGTGAAGTGGGGCTTCAAGGAGCCTGCAGCCTGGAGTGTGCTTGCCTGGTGGGAGCTCAGGGCTCTTGGCACCTCACATGTTCAGTCCCCACTCTTCCAAACCACTCAGGTTCCCTTCCCAAATGTTTAGAGATCAAAGGAGGAGAAACCAACACATGCTTTCCCTTCCAACTGCTCCTGCCAAGTGAGTCCCCAGAGGTACTTCGATTTTTTCACAAATCAAGGTTTCTAGAGTGGTGCTGCTTTCTGATCTTTGTGTAAACAGCCAGAGAGTGCTGGGCTGTGACTGGAGAGGAGCTTTCTGCAGGTCTGGGTGAGAGCTTTTCACAGAGAGGGACAAGCTATAAAGCCATGTCCATCTGACACCTCTGAAAGGTGCAGTGTCACATTCGGTAGCCTGGTCCCACATGGCTCCTTCCATGGCACCAGCTGAAAAGGAGCAGCTCAGCCCAGCCTAGCCCAGCTCAGCTCAGCTGGCTGCAAACCCTGTGGTTTCCCGAGCCCCAGGGCATCATTCCTGTCTTGGGGCTCGCGGCTTGGACAGGCTCCAGGGGTCCCCAGCAGGCAGCAGGTGGCTTCTTGGGCTCGTCCCCATGCCAGGTGGCCACGACACAGCTCCGCCTTCCAAGCCATGCCAGGGATTGCTTCAGCAGGCAGCAGGCGGCTTCTTGGGCTCGTCCCCATGCCCACGACACAGCTCCGCCTTCCAAGCCATGCCAGGGATTGCTCCTGTGGCGGGCTGGGTGAGTTTGCCCCAGGGGAAGGGTGTCGCAGCCCGAGGTGCTGGTGTCCTGTGTCCAGCTGCACGTGGCCGTGCTGCAGCGTCCAGGGCAGGGGGTCCTGTGGGGCTGTGCAGCCTGGCAGGGGCTGTGGGGCTGTGCAGTGTGCAGGAGCTGTGGGGCTGTGCAGCCTGGCAGGGGCTGTGGGGCTGTGCAGTCTGGCTGTGCAGCCTGGCAGGGGCTGTGGGGCTGTGCAGTCTGGCTGTGCAGCCTGGGAGGTGCTGTGGGGCTGTGCAGCCTGGCAGGGGCTGTGGGGCTGTGCAGCCTGGCAGGGGCTGTGGGGCTGCACAGCCTGGCAGCAGCTGTGGGGCTGTGCAGTCTGGCTGTGCAGCCTGCAGCAGCTGTGTGTTGTCGTGCAGATGACACGGGTGAAGGTGGCTGCCTGCAGCCAGTACTCGACGTGCGCGGAGTGCCTGGCCGCCGCCGACGCCTACTGCGGGTGGTGCACCATGGAGACCAGGTAGGAACAGCCGTGTCCTGGAGCGTCTCGCCGTGTCCCCGGGCCCTCAGCCTGGGCAAGGGTTTCTGCTGCCTTCTGTATTTCCCCACAGTCACACCACCAACAGTCTTTTTCCATTCCTTACAAAATACATGCTGTTAGAAACAATTGCATCTGGCCCAAAGGGTTGGGGATGTTCTTCAGAGCCACGATTTCACCATAGCTGCATTGTCATGCCACAGGCAGTGCCAGTGCAAAGAATCTCTTGCAGGTGTCAAACCATGGGACTGTGAGAACCCACACCCTGTGAAAGTCCATGTTTTGCCCCTGCAGATCTCATCTATCAGTAGAAGACAATCACATGCAAAAGGGGGTATTCAAAATTAGAATCCACATTTGCAAACTGAAGATGTCAGACAAAATGTCATCCTCTCCTCCTGAGTTCGGGTTCAGCCCTGGCCTTTTCCTGCCTTCCTCAATCCTGCTGCTCCAATGGTGCTGTGGGAGAACATGTTTTTATCATGGCAAGCAGATGCTTAAACCATAGCAGCAAACGTTAAGGCTTAGCTGCATGGATGGAGAAAGACACAGACACAAGATTTTCTCAGGAGCTTCCCTCACAAGGAATTCAATTCAATTCAATTTTTATCACCTGTTTTAAAACTCATCGACCACGAGCTGTTCCTCTGTTCGTTGCAGGTGTTCTCTGCAGCATGAGTGCACCAACTTCACGGGGGCCAACTTCTGGGCGAGTGTGAGTGAGGGAGTGCAGCAGTGCCCTTCCATGACCATCCTGGAGCCTGAGATCAATATTGACAAAGAGAACCCGGTGCGTTTGCTGCCAGTTCCAAAGCAATGCCCTGCAGGGTCCGTAGAGCCGCTGCCTGCTCCCAGGGCAGCAGCCACCCGAGCTCCTCCCGCGGAGCAGCACGGCTCCTCGGGGCTTGGATACGGATCAGGGGGTGCTGAGCTCTGCTGCTGCACCTGGCCAAGGCTCTCGGGGAGCTGGGGTGACCTGCTGCACCCCGGAGCCTGAGCCGCCTGCGTGCCAGGTCTGTAGGAAAACAGCACCCAGAGCTGAGCCTACGGCAAAAACCACCCAGAGCTGCTGCACCAAACACACAGGGCAGGCTCGCAAAATTTCAAACGCAATCAGCTGCAGACAGCTGAGTCAACTCATTTCCTGGTTTTGTATTGTTGCTATTTTAAAGTATTTTAATTATATGTTAAAGGTTTTTGTAAAAATATTATTTGTTTCAAGACAGACCCTGTCTGTGGGCTTGTTTTGGAGTTGCTTACCTCTTAAAAGCTTCTAAAATGTTGACAATTTCTAAATATAATTTTCTGTGATAATAGCTGACTTTTTTGTCTAATATAGGCCCTGATAATACAAATAAATGGAACTATCCCGAACTTGAATGGAACAAATATTTCATGTGACTATGGAAACAACATCCACACGGTCGCCAGAGTCGCTGGGGATTATGTAAACCAATTTATTTATTGCAGTTTGCTTCCACACGAGAAATATCCAGCATTTCCTGATGACCAAGGTATGCAGAGGCAAAAAAGATGTGTTCCTTCTAACCACTTTTGTGAGCATAGCTTTTAGTAGGCTTTATTTCTTTTTTCAGTGGTATGTGCAGTTAACACATACAGGGAAGAAAAGCCCAAAGCTGTGTCTGTTTTACAGGGCATATGACTGAAGCGTTGGAATTCCACCCTCTTTACATGAATTGATAGTATTTCAAATCTATCAATTTTTGTTTTAAACATCAGAATTTAAATGCCAGTTCACGTGCTTATTTTTACCTGGTTTGAGCTTCTGCTTTAGATTTAGTATGTACTAAGCCCAAAATGTTTTAGCCCTGGGAAAATAATGTAGTTTTTTATATTGATATTTTCAATTGCTTTCTTGAATTTGCCTCCAAAACACACGCTGCCTTTCGGGAGGAGTTCTGCAGGAAGAGCAAGTGGGTACCTGAAGGAGCTCAGGGACTCTTAGCCCCGTTTTGCAGTCAAAAGCCAGCCAGAGCATCCGGTGTCCCCTGCTTTGTGACGGTGCCAAAGGGGATGCCTGTCTCGAGGCCCCATGGGGCAGAGGAGATGAGTGCCTGGGACGAGGCTGAGCTGCTGGCTGAGCTGACTGACCTGAGCTGGCCACTGCATCAGCTGAGCTGCTGGCTGAGCTGGCACACCTGAGCTGGCCACTGCAGCTGAGCTGCTGGCTGAGCTGGCACACCTGAGCTGGCACACCTGAGCTGGCACACCTGAGCTGGCCACTGCAGCTGAGCTGCTGGCTGAGCTGGCACACCTGAGCTGGCCACTGCAGCTGAGCTGCTGGCTGAGCTGGCACACCTGAGCTGGCCACTGCAGCTGAGCTGCTGGCTGAGCTGGCACACCTGAGCTGGCCACTCAGCGATGCAGTCAGCCCCTCTCGGTGCCTTTGGAGAAGTTTGATGCTTTAGTCCAGGCTTGAGTGCTTGTAAAGTTTTCATCCTTCAACGGTGGAGTGAATGTGCTATTGAAGATGGCTGACTTCAGTAAGGGGAGAATTAGCTAGTCCTTCTGAAAATTCCACTTTTCCTAGGCCCATTTGTAAAGCTGCATTGCTTTCCTCCCAAACTATCCAAAGAATGGGAGATCATTAACTGTTCTGTATTGTTGGTTTCAGCAATGTCCAAATGAATTTCTGGAATCCAGTATGCTGATTTATTGTCTGTATTCTGAAAGAAGCATTGTTTCTTCTCCCTGGTGCTTATACGGCAAAATTGAAAAAAAAAAAAAAAAAGGCAATTTTGGGGGGAGGGAAGGTATTATGGTGTGTTGAGCAGCCAAAAAAGGGATTTCCGCTCTCTGCAGGTTTGTTGGCACAGGGAAAGTGAGCGGGATTTTAAAACATGATAACTAACATGTTTTAATTACCACATTTTAAAAATTACAGTTTAGCACCAACTGTACGTGAAGACAATAATTAAATCTGCTAATTAACACTTGCATAACATGCTGGAATTTTGTGCTGAAAGTCACCATGTTCTTTTTTGTGAGAGTAATGTAAAGTGCTGATTTAGGAGGGAAGAGGAGAAAGGATGACTGTCCAAGTTCTGACATGCAGCTCGGAGGAAGCCCTAGAGAAAACAAATCATATTTAGCCCTTGTTTTCCCAAGGGTCTCTCTTGTCTGCTGAGTGTGAGTGTGAGCAAGGGGCTGTTGCAACCCAATATTCTTTGGCTTGATTTTCTCAGACCACGTGGTCGTTGAAACTTCTCTCCGGGTCAACAACAAAAACATAATCCGGGCCAATTTCACCATCTATGATTGCAAAAGGATTGGGAACATTTACCCGAAGAGAGCGTGAGTGAGGCCAGCGCGCGGCAGCAGAGCCCCCGTGGCGGGGCGTGGGTGGCACGGGGGTGACAATGGTGGGGCAGCTGGGCGCTGGGAGGGTGCCAGCACGAAGCTGGACGAGGGTGCTCCTGTGTGGGGTTGGTGGGGGAGCTCAGCTCCTGAGAGCTGGCAGCTGGGGCCTGGGCAGGGTTTGGCAGGATGGTGGGAGATGTGATGCCAGAGGAGGGTCCTCAAGCCATCTGGGCTGGGTTTCTTTTAAACATAGATAATATCTTTATCTGAAGCTTGTTCTGTTAACCCTTCAGCAGCAGAGGTGGCCTCCCCAGCAATCTGTGGGGCACTGGGGAAGGGAGGGTCACGCTCTCTTGCTCCCTCCAGCCCTGGGTGGGAGCAGTCACATACCCCCATCAGCTTGAGGAGGCTCTAGTGGCACACACAAAACTCATCCACCTCTCAGGAGCATGACATCAGGACCTGGCCACAGGGCCCACCAGCACTCCCATGTCTGTGTAAACAGCAGGGAGTCCTAGTCAGGTCCAGCATGCCAGGCTTCTCAGAGACACAGATGAGGGGAAAGAGCATTTTTTGGGGGAAAAACTAACTGGTTGTTCCTGTTTGTTTGCTAAGCAGGGGAAGGTGGCTCTCAGTCTGCTGTCCTCAGAGAGACAGATGAGGGGAAAGAGCATTTTTTTGGGGGAAAAACTAACTGGTTGTTCCTGTTTGTTTGCTAAGCAGGGGAAGGTGGCTCTCAGTCTGCTGTAGCCTGAGGCCAGGCAGGGGTGCCTGGGCGTGATGGGCTCTGGCCACATACCCTGCCAGCTCCCAGGGAGAGCGGAGGGAAATCCAGCACCTGCAGTGGGTTTTTCTAGGCACCATTAAAGGCTGAACAGTGTGAAGAGGGGTTGCAGGGCTGGGGTGTGGCCCCTCTGAGCAGCCTATACTCTGCTTTGCTCACCTTGCCTTTGCCCTTGCAGGTGCACCAGCTGCCTCTCAGCCAGGTGGAAGTGCCACTGGTGCCCCTCCACCTACAGCTGCGTCTCCAACCGCTCACAGTGTGAGGACGCGCTGCGGATGGAGGTGAGGATGGCTCCGAGCTCCCGCAGCCGTGCCCAGCACGCGCCGGCTGTGGCTTGTGCCCTGCTGGGCTGGGCACCCTCCTCAGCTCTTCAGGAGGGCGGTGTGGCGTGGGTGGGCACCGTGCCTTGCCGTGCTGTGCTGTGCTGAGGCGTGCCTGGGAGGGGGCTGGCTCAGGGATTCCGGGGTTCTGCTGTCCTGGTGCCGCCCGTGGGCTCCAGCTCTTGGCTTTCCATGACTTCTCGTACCTGGAGCAATGCTGCTCTTTCTCCTCATCCTGGGCCACCTGGGTTTGGGTGCAAGAAGAAACAGCCATACTCCACCATTCCCTTAGCTGTGACTCGAGGCTGCTTTATGTTAATAATGTGCTGGGGCACCACTGGGGTGCTCACCCAGAGGACAAAATCACCTCTTTCCAAACTGCAGCTTTAATACCCAGAGGCTCAGAGTTCCTACTACTGAAGTTTAATTTGACGTTAATTTAAATAAAATGGGCCTTTTAGCAATCAATATGCTCTAGATCCAAGCCAAGCTTTTACACTGTAAATTGAATATCCCTTTTGCACCTCTGCTCTTAACTCAGGTGTCCAGTGTTGCTCATGCTCATCATTGAGAGGAGCTTGGCCCCATGTCAGATGTCCCACCCTCACTCTCAGGCTGAGCCCAGGGCCAGCCCTGGCATCCACTCTCCTCCAGTGGGGAGGAGTGCAGGGCATGGGGGTGGAGCTGAAGCCACCGCTTACAGCTCCAGATCCTGTAAATCCCTGGGAAATGGGGATGGAGAAGTCCCTGCCAGGTGGCAGCTCCCGGCAGCACGGGGCAGTGTGTTGGGGTCAGCTGTGCCTGCCTGTGCATACCCGGGTATTTTGGGGAAGCATCCTCCTCTTAGTCCACTCCACAGGTTTCAGTGTCTGGCATTTTCTCTGGCTGTCTGCATGGGTGCTGGGAAGTTGAAAACCCTCCTGATGGTTGTTCCTGTTGGGTCTGTCTGTGCCAGAGCCTGGGGAGCCCTGCAGGGGTCTGGCACACGCTGGCTGTTGGGGAGCGGGCGCTCATGCTGTGTGTGCTGCTGGGCACTGCTGTGTGCTCCTGCCAGGGACTTGAGGGTGTCAGTTTCAGCAGTGACACTGGGGGACATCAGGGCCGTGTGGTCGCCTGGGGACTGCCCTGGGCTTGTCCTCGATTAGCAAAGGACTAACTTCCTTGGGTCTCCTGCTCCAGAGGTTCAGCTGGGCTGGATGCTGACCTGCTTGGGCATGTTTGTTTTCTCTCTGTGCCTCCTGCTGGTCTCGTGAGCGGGAGAGGTGCTCTGTAGCCCTGGAAACACGGTGCTTTCATCGTGCAGTTGGAGCTTTGGTAAACAAACCATCGCTGTGCGCTGCACCTGCGCGTGGCTCTGCAGGGAGAGCTGCATCCTCCCGCCTCCATCCCCAGCACCCGGACATTCTGCCCCTTTCCTCTGATCCAGATGTGACGGATATAGGCAGCTGGCAGCTCTATTTCTGGTGGCTGCTGAACAGCAGGAGAAGGGGCTGCAAGATGACAAGTTAATCAGTCCTCTAAAGTGTATTTCTCTGGGAAGCTGTGCCAGCTCTGGTGACATGCAAGGACTCATCAGGCAGGGGAGGTTTTGCTTGAAATTGTAGCTGTGCTGGTTCTATTTTAACTCTCTTTATTTCCTTGGAAGAGGCTTGGGATTGAAATCTCTCTCCAGTTGTTTACTTTGCTGTTTTGCTTCCCTTATCACGTTAATCTCTGTTATTTAATCTCCATATTTAGGCAGCACCAACTATGCTTGGTTAGAGTGTCCTGACAGAAGTGAAATATTTTTTCCACAGTCAAACAGACACTCCCAGGTAGTTCTCTGACCCCTATCTAGGTCTGGGGAGGGCAGGAGAGAAACCTCCCCCTCGCTGCATGCCCAGTCCCAGGGATGTGTCTGATCAGGCATCCTAGCACTGGGAGGGCAGGCTCAGCCTCTCCTTGGAGCAGCAGCAGCACTGGCATCAGTGGAGCCACAGCAGGGTAATCTTTGATGCAAGTGAGAGGAAATCTTGCCTGCTGCAAATGGTTCTGCATAATGGACCAAGTATTTTGTTGTCTTTTACCCCAATGGCTCCACTGTCACAGGCATTACTCTGGATGTACCCTGGGGCCATGCACAATCTGGCTTCATGCTTGCTGTAGTTTCGCAGTGTGATTTACGTCTCATGAGAGAACAGAACGGGTTTGTCACACAGACTGGAATTCTGAGTCAGCTCCAGTGTCTGAGACATCAATTTAAAACAAGAACAAAAGTAAGGAGACAGATGACCTTTTAAAATAATTTTTCAGCTTCATTTAAGCCTTTCAGTGCAGCTGCCCCACTCCTGCAGCCCCCTCCCTGACGGCCGTGCGGCTCCTCACACCCTCTGTGCATGCACACGCAGCCTGGGCAGTGTGCAGGGTGGAGACCCTGCAGCACAGGCCCTGCAGGTGCTGGCAGGAGTGAGCAATGCAACGGGTGCAACAGGCTCACAGGGCGTGGGAGAGGGTCACACTGGGAGATCTGCCTTTGGAGGGGGCAGTGCCTGCTTTCAGAGTTATTCTGGCCCTGCCAGAGTGGCAGCTGAGGTGCGGGTACACCTCACTGTGCACCTGGCTGTGCCCCCTTCCCAGTGAAATTAATCTTATCAAGGACCTCGATGGTTCCTTTCCCTTGTTGCTGAGGATGCTCAGCATGCACCCAGCTAACCCCTTTTTTCCCTGTTTTTGTACCTAGCAGAAGAAAATTGACTGTCCTCAAATTGTACCTGCCCCTTTGGAGCCGATGCCCACGGGTGTATCTCGGAACATCGTGATCTCACTGGCCAATGCAACTTTCTCTAAGGTAAATGAGTTCCTAAAGGCATTGGGAAGGTTTGGACAGGTGTTTGGGGGAAATAAAGCTCCCTGTTTCCTTGTGGGTGTTTGCTCCACCACCACAGAGCATGCTGGTGCCAGCTCTCCCAACGCCCCATCCAGCCTGGCCCCAGTGCCCGTGCTGAGGAATAAAGGACACAGCTCTGAGGGGCAGACAGGGAGCCCTGTCTGAGCCACAGTGTTTGAGTACAGCATGGAAGCATTGTTTAACTTCAGATTGTCCCTGCAGAGCTCATTTGGAGTGTAAATGTCCTTCAGGTCATCACTGCAAAGCTTGTTTGAGGTGAAAAAGTATTTTTTGTGAAATTTTCTGACATGGTAATTCTGACAGCAAAAAGTAGAAGTGGACATCAAGTGGTGCCTTTGGAGATGTGCTGTATGCCAGAAAGAGCCAGAGGAATTTGGGGTAAAGAGGCTGAGCACTGGAAAAGTGCTTGAGTAAGCTCTGGTGTTTGTAGAAATCTGCCCTGAGTAATTTTGGCTCAGACCAACAGGGCTCATGGGGCCAGGTTTGCCTTGCCCCTGCTGATGATTCCAGCACCCTGGGCAGCCAAGTGGCTCCTTGTTCTTCAGGAGAGGAGAGCTTTGGAAGTGCCAGTGGAGCTGTTGTGGTGTGCTGGAGGGTGCTCTGGAGGCCCTGGAGGCACCACTCCCACCACACCTCCTTGCCTCGGTGCAGGGGCAGAGCAGACCCTCGTGGCCTTTTCCTGCACAGCTCCAGCCTACAGGAAGGAGGCTGTGACCTCTGCAATCAGCAAAACAGGGTGAGAAATCCTTCTTCCTGTCTGGATGCTGGAGGTGGCTGAGGAGGAAGCAATAGTGCATGGAACCCACAGGAAACGGAGTCAGCAGGAAAGGGGCAGCAGGAGAGGCTCTGGCAGTCTGGCTTCCTTCCATCACCTTCTGCTCATTGTCCCAGGGTGCCGGGGAGGATTTCTTCTCCTTTCCTCTCTGGAGGAACTCATGAGTGCTGCTGGAGCTGGGAGCCTCAGAGACATGTGCCCCCAGCCTTTCCTGCAGCAGGGGCACTGCAGGGACGTGAGGCCAGGGCTGTGGGCAGCCTGCAGAGCCAGAGCTGCTTGGGTGCAGGTGATGCACTGGGCAAGATTCTGCCTGTGTGTTTGCTGAACCAGCAGCTGCCTGCCAGGAGCTTGGTGCTTCCTTCCATGTCTTTTATCAGATCTGCCAGTTTTCAAAGGATAGTTAGACCTCAGTAGTGGTGGAGCATCAACTGCTTGGAGACAGGATTTTTTTCCTGCAGGATGCGGGTACAGCAATAATTTGGTGCAGGATATCATCCTTGTGTTATCAGGAAAACAGCACAGAAGTCTGTCTTTGAACCTGTTCTCGGCTGGGTCCTTGTTTGAATTGGAGATTTGCTCAGTGTAGTTGTTGGGAAGAGGAGGAGGAAGGTGACTTTGAGCCCAAATCACTGACTGGTTTGGACAAGGTGGCCTGGGGCAACACTGGCTCTCAGTATGTGCTGCAGTGCCACGCACCCCTGCCCAGAGGAGCTGCTGGGGTTACAGGAGCCCAGCCAGGCACGTCTGGTCTGTGTGTGCTGTGGGCCAGGCACAGCTCCTGGGCTGCACATTTAGTGTCGGGCACTGATCTCCTTTTGACCTGGGCAGAGTTCAGGTGCCAGTGGCAGAATCAAGGTGGGACACGGACCCTGCTGATCGACTGACAGACAGAGAAATGCACAAAATGGTTGTTGCAGCCATTCTGCCTTGTATTCCCTCTCCTAGGAGACAGCTCTGGAGTGCCATTTTGGGACAGACGGGACATTTGAAGCCCAGTGGGTGAACTCCTCTGCCGTGGAGTGTGTCCATGTGCTGGTGAGTGCAGGGGGGAGGCTGCCAGCCCTGCTTCCCCCAGGCTGAGCATCAGGTCCGAGGGCAGGCAGGGTCTCACCCCAACCTCCCACCTGGCAGTGGGACTCCACTTGCTCTCTTCGCTCCATCTCTCACTCCTGCATTTGCCCCTCTGGGCTCTCTGCATGTGCTGATGCTGGCAGGGCACACACGTGTCCCCGGTGCTGTGTCCCCAGCTCCGTGGGGATCTGCAATGGCTTTGGCCCCTGCTCCCCTCCGGCTTGGGAAAGAGCTGCTTGTTTACCTTTCTAAATAGGAAGAGTTTAGTTCAGACAAAAAATTTGGCCACCTTTCAGGATTGCTGTTTTTGTAGCTTTTATTTTGAGCAAGGATTTGGCCTGAGGAAATGCTGTGATGCTCACTGGAAAGCAGTGTGTGGTTGTTGGAGGGCAAACTGCACCTGCAAAATGCAGCAAACATTTGGGCTTTCACCAGTAGGAGCATTGCAAGTGGAAGCTGGAGAAGAGCACTTTCCCATCACGTCACCTGTATCACAGCCCCACACTGAGAATGTGCAGACAGTCCAGGCTGCTCGTGTTCCTGTCCGTTTCTGCTAAAAATAGCAGCAACCCAGGGCTCTGTGCTCACCGTGATATGCACTGTGTCCTGGTGCCCTTTACTGGGGCTTCAGCAAAATGATTAAAACAAAACAGCTGTCCCACTTCTTCTGCTAAGGATAAGACCCTTGTGTCTGGAGGAGCAGTGGTCAAAGAAGCTTCACAAGAGAGGTCAATCCATGGGGGGTGTGTGTGTGTATGTAACCTCCTTTTTACTAAATTTCATGAGTTTTTGTTTATTTTTTGTGTGCAGCTCCACACATCAGAGAAAAGCCATCGCTTCCCAGTGAACCTCCAGCTGAAGGACAAACCAGACAGATTTATCGACAGTCCAGAGATGATGACAGGTCTGAGTTGAAAATATTTTTATGCTCCTCTCATCTGGTTGGCTTGAATGACTCTCTGAAACCTGGGCAGAGTTTATGGCTGCAGGAGAGAGACCATGGCTCCAGTGGGCACAGCGCAGTCCCTTCTCTCAGGCACATGCAAAAAACATATTTACCCAGAGTCACCCCCATGAACTTGAGCCCAGAGCCCAGACTGGCACCCGCACATCCCTGTTACAGCCAGCCAAAGTCAAGCCCTGCCCAGAAGTGCAGCTCAGGTCTCAGCTGCCAGCCGTGCATGGCTCAGGTTACCTGGTGCTCTCAGTCACAGCCGGGATGTGGGCTAGAGAGGAATTCCTCCCGGGGAGAGAAGGCATGGGGCAGGGCTCTTCCCTCAGCTCTCACAGGAGCATGGCATCAAGATTCCACATGTTCTGAAAATTGAGTCCTTCTTTTTGCTTCCTCTGCTGAGAAGGAATAAAATGTGTAAGCACATTTCACCCCTGGCCTGTTCCCTGTCTCTGAGAAGAATGGCTGGATTCCCAAAAAAGCCCTTGCTACATCAGCAGACTGAGGAAGGCAGGCAGTGAGACTCGAAATGAGTCAGACAGACATGGTAGCCAGGCAGGACGAGCCCGGGGGGTGGCCACGGAGCCGGGCTGGCACAGCAGCTGCCGCACTCGCCGTGGCTGGAGGTTTGGGGGTGCCCCTTGCCGGGGGCTCTGGCTGGAGGCAGCATTCCCGAGCTCCTCTGCCTCTCAACAGTGTCAGCAGCTGTGGCACAAGGGGCTGATTTATCTGAGGTGCAGAGGAGGAGAGCCCAAAGAGAGCTTTCCTTTGGAGGACAACTGTGGCAGGGAGAAATTCACGAGCACCAACAGCCAGTGACCAGGACAGAAAGTTTTCCCTTGATAAACCCCTGTGAATGGAGGAGGATTATCTTGCAACGTGAAAATACCTGGAAATGCCAGCATGGGCAGGCATGAGATCTGCTTTCTCTGCAGAAAGAAGAGGGCATAATTTTGCAATACAGCGGTAACCCCGAGGAGGGGGGTGGGACATGGGGTTTTGGCTGTGTAGAAGACTCAGTTCTCTGTGTGGGTGGTGCTGGGAGCAGGAACCACAGCAGAAAAAGCGTGGTGGAATTCCCCTCCTCCTGCATGGAGAAGGAGCTCGTTTACATAGGCCATGTTTGCATCCATTGGAATTGGCCGGAATATTTGGAGTTCCCACGGGACTGTTATGCTGCTCTGGCTCCTCCTCGCTTTGCTCAGGCTGGTGTGAGTCACATTAGAGACTGCCTTGCATCAAAGATCTGCTAGACAAACGTGGGCATCTTTTAAAATGTCTTTAATGAAATTACTGATGTTATTGTTTATTATTTCAATGCTTATTAGCTTTAATTGTGCATTCTGTTTTGATAGTCCATTGAAGGAATACATGCTCTGCTATTGGTTGGAAAACCACCCAGTGTAACCCCTGGGGGACTGCAGATGACATGAAATAAGCTTTTTTTTGTGGAGAATAGGAGAGACCCTCAGTACCAGTGATGTTTTGTTAGCATGGCACAGGCAGAGTGTTGGTGCTGATGAAGTTTCATTAGCACAGCACAGCAGAGCGTTGAGGCTGAGGGACTCATTAGCTGCTCAGGAAGTGCCTTAAGATGCTCCTGTGAGCAGAAGTGCCAAGTGTGTCTGTTTCTGCTTTTTATGTGCTCCTGCAAAGTCTCCTGTGGGGAAAAGGGTGTGAAAGCCATATTTCCTGTGCATTTCTCACTGTTACCTCCATGGATCCCCACACTTCAGTGGCAGAAGTCTTGAGGCTGGAGAGGAAATGTAACCCAGGGCACCAGCTAATGGAGATGTGAAGGCAGTATAAGAAAAACATATGGAAGTTGAGCTGAGCAGATCTGTTAAGGGAGCAGAAGTCAATGAAAGGGGTCTGTGGTCACAGGGGGAAGGAAAGAACTGTAAACACTGCACAAAGCACAAACTACCCCATTTTTTGTCAGTGTGGAAGCAATGCGATTGCCTTCCTGGCAGGATGGAGCCAGCTTTGCCAAGCAGCTTCCCATGTGGATGCTGAGAGTTGGAAACACGTAGCATTAATTGACAAAAGGTTCCAAGTTGGGTGTTGCTTGTTTTTCAAAGGGGAGAAAAAGGAAAAGAATGTGCTAAATGATATTGTAGTGTGAACAAGCGCCCAGGCCGTCTGGGGAATCTGCAGGATGGCAGCCAGGTGCTGCCCGGTCCCGCTGTGCGCGCAGACTGCTCTGCTGGTCCGCTGGATTTCAGCTTTTCTTGGATTAACGCAGCGGGCAGGTGGTGGGAGCGGGGCCCCGTGTGTGCTGGATTGCCTTAGGCTAAGCAAAGCCGCGAGAGCCTCGTCCGCTGGATTTCAGCTTTTCCTGGATTAATGCAGCGGGCAGGTGGTGGGAGCGGGGGGGCCGTGTGTGCTGGATTGCCTTAGGCTAAGCAAAGCTGCGAGAGCCTCGGGCCTGGAGCTCATGCTGTCTGTTGTCTCTGGGCTCAGTGGAGGTGTACAACTGCGCGACCGGCAGCGCCGACTGCTCCCAGTGCTTGGGGAGGGAGGACCTGGGCCACCGCTGCCTCTGGAGCGAGAGCAGCTCCAGCTGCAGGCTGCAAACCGAGCCCCCGCAGGTCTCTGAAGTCTGCCCACCGCCTGAGATCCGCAAGGTGAGACCCAATGCAGCACGGAGGGTGCTCGCAGCGCGGCGTGGGGCGGGCGTGTGCCAGGGGCTGGGCTGGCTGCACGGTGCTGCCTGCAGCAGAGGAGGATCTGCACATTGTCCCTGGCTCAGGACGGGGTACAGCGCTGAATTATTCACTGACTGGCTGTGCTGTCAAGTCACCTGGTGCCAAGGACATCTTGCTAGTGACAGGATCCAGGCTTCATCATGTTAGAGGGAAAAACACCAGCAGCACAAGCATGGCCAGTGCTGTCCTCTCGCAGCACTGGGATGTTGTCATGACCAGTACCCTGTCCCCTCACAGCGCTGGGGGCAGCAGCTGTCAGGTGAAACCAGCGGTGTAGGAGTGGGTTCAAAGCTGGTCTGTGGAAGAAAGCATGTTTCTTCCCAGATGTGTTTGCAGCTGAAGTGATCCTTTACTAAACCCCACCGCCCCACATAGCACAGAAGTGTGATGGTTTCTCCTCTGCCAAGCCAGAGCAAGGAGACTCTGGTGTTGGGTGCACGGGGCAAGCAGGAGTGTGAGGAGTGATTCTCTCTGCCTCACAGGGCTCAGGTGGTGCTTGGGCACCGGGACTGGCTCAAGGATGAAGGCCAGAAGCTCCTGGTTCTCCCCTGACCTGGTCTAGTGGGAGGTGTCCCTGCCACCAGCATGAATCATAGATGATCTTTGAGTTCTCTTCCAACCCAAACCATTCTGGGATCCTGTGCTGCTCTGACTTTGTGCCCTGCCCCTTGGTGCTGCAGATCGAGCCGCTGCGCGGGCCCCTGGAGGGGGGCACGCTGCTGACCATCCGCGGGAGGAACCTGGGCCGCCGCTTCAGCGACATCGCGGGCGCCGTGCGGGTGGGCGGCGTGCGCTGCGCCCCGCTGCCCGGCAGATACGTCGTCTCTGAGACGTGAGCTGGGCGCTGGGGAGGAGGGACCGCGACCCCTGCATGGCCCTGGCTCACGCCTGTCCCTCCCTGTCCCTGTGGCCAGGCAGAGGCCAGCTGCTGCTGCCTTCGCCGCTGGCACTGCTGCCATTCTCCTCATCCATCCGCAGAGTCGTGTGCCAGACCGGAGAGGCTCCGGAGGCGTTTTCGGACGTGGTCACGGTTAACGTGAGCCGGGAAGGGAGGTCCAGGGAACGGTACTCCTACGTGGTGAGTCTCCTGAGTGTTCTGTGGTGATCCCTGTGCCCCTTAAAGTGGGTGTGCAGCGCCCCTCGCCTTCCCTAGCTGGCTGAGAAACAGGATCTACAACTACGTGTTGGGGTCCCTACGGAGCTGCTGAGGTGTCACCTCACCTGTGGTTACCTGTGGGAGGTGTGGCAGGACCACAGCAGGATGCTGGCAGCACAGCCACGCTCCCAGACTCAGCTCCTGCAGGGGTCTGTCTCATTCCAGCTCTATTCACAATTCTCCTGCTATAAAAAGGAACTCGGTTTTCTTCTACCTCTTTTGCTGAAGTCTTGCTACAACCTGTGAGATTTTTTGAGACTTCTGAAGTCTCTTTGTGCTGTGTAAGTTACATTCCATAAACTCACATTGTTTAGAACTGATATTTCTGCTGCAGAGATTGTATTAGTTTTTGCATGAAATAGTGTGTAGGGATTAGACTGAAGCTAACCCCATGTCATTGTGCAATGAAAAGCCCTTTATAACTTTGTGCTGTGCTGTTTCACAAAGATAACTTTCATCTCTATAAACCTGGAGAGAAATCCATGTATTTTTCTCTTCCTTACATGAGCCTTCTTCTTGGACAGCCATGCTGGGTGGGTGCTGAGGGCACGTGGAGTGCTTGGAGCCTTTGAGCCTCCACTGCAGCTTCAGCTGGGGCAGGACAGTCTGTGCTGCAAGTTGCTGGCCTGGGACGAGACTTGGAGCCCCAGAAAACACTTTGATTCCTGGTGGCCATTGTGAGGAATTTGGGGCAGATCATGGAGTGTGATTCTCCCACCCTGAAGCCAACAATGGTGTTTAGTTCAGGGAGCTGACAGCATGCAGCCAGCACAGGCATGGCACACCCCAGCACCCAGCATGGGGAGAGGCTGGTGAGGTGATGGCACAGCCAGGCCAGGCTCAGCAGGAGTTCCCAGATCCCATTTCCACAGTTTCCAGGTGTCCAGGTTCACATCCTAACACCCCCCCTTGGTCTGGGGATTCTCAGGATGTGTGTGCTGAGCTGGCACATCCCCCAGGGCTGGCTGAGAGGGGGGAGAGGGCCTGGAGAGTGGAACAGGGCTGGGCAGCTCCTTCACCAGCTCTTAACATGCGAGGAAAAGCCTCTCAGGAAACACCTGTGGCAGCAGCAATGCTGAACAAAGCCGGGCCCTGACCTCAGCCTGGGTCCATGGCAGCCCTGTTCCAGCAGCTCCTGGGCAAGCTTAGGGAGCAGGCTGCTCCCTGGAGTGGGACAGAAGCCCTTCCTACTTGGGTGGCACAGTAGAAAACTGCTGTCCCTCTGTCTGTCTCTGTTTGTCTTTGCAAATCTGGGAGCAGATATGAGGGGGTGCCCTGCCTTGTGCAAGTGTTGGGGAGGGACACTGCAGGGACACTGGTGATGGAGATGTGTCACACTGAAAGTAGCTTTCACACCGTTTGCAGACCAAGCAACACTCTTGTTTTCTTGGTTCTCCTCTCCCATCTCTTGGCATGCAAATGGAGTAGCCCACACCACGCAAGGCTAGTCTTGGTGAGACCTGAGCTTGGGCACTGGTACAGTTTGCCTAGAAAAGTTCAAAAGCCATTCAAAACTGCCCTTCCAAAGAAGGTACTTCATGAAATACCAGATATGGTTTATGTACTACATCTTTCAAAGTCCCGATTGTACATGCCTAGAAGAGACAGAATTCAGCTGTAATTGTACTGAGGAGGGAGAGGCTTCTTCAGGACATTATAGCAGGCTATGGATGAGCTGGATTTGCCAAAGCTGCGATGGAGGTGATTGGTGCTGGCAGTGCACCAAGAGCAGCAGCCCCTGGCTCTGGCTAAGGGGAAGGCCTTTGGGGAACAGGAATAATCCTCTCTGCTGGTGCTGTAGCTGTACTTATGAATATGTGGGTTAAGGGCCAAGGCCAGGAGACAGCTGCCTGCAGACACCAGAGAAATAGAAATTAACAAAACGGATCTGGTGGAAATGGGTGATGGTCAGAACCGACAGAGGAAACGGCAGGAGAGGAGCGGAGCCATCTGCGTGTAGGACAAGGGCAAGGGTAGGTGTTAATGCACAGGTTTGTGTGGCAGAGACTGCCAGGCAAGGCATTAGCAGCAGGCTCAGCCTGCACTCTGCTGCCCGCCTGCGAGGGTCCAGGGTCTGCTCTGCACGAGGAAGGGATGGGCTGGGGTCTGTCTGAGAGGGAGTCACCAGTGCCCTGTGGAAGGCTCTCAGGATCATGATTTGCTCTGCCCTGGCTGTCCTGCTCAAATGGAGCAGGGATGTTGCCAGCAGCCTCTCCTGGTGTGCCTGTGAGCAGACAAGAGGGCTCAGAGCCACGTGAGTTATCAAAGCCTCCAGCTCATCAATCTCAGGAAGATTTCCAGGGGCTGCAAACACAGATAACATACATGCTAATTTATGCTGCAAATGGCAAGAGGCAAAGTAACTTCCCCCTCAGTTCCTGTTGCCTCAAGAGATGCAGATTTGAAGCTTCCTTAGCAGGGGTCTGATATTCAATTATCTAAACCCAGGTGGCCTTTTTACTGATCTCAAGGCCATCCTCCAGTGGGGCTTTAACATTATCCTTGCATTTAGGAGGACATGGATCTGAAAGGGCTGAGTTGGTGAGGGAGGGAATGAGTGAGAGATTTCTTTTATTGGTGGACCTTGTGCTGTCACTGGCTCTGGACCTCCTGCTGGAAATCTGAAGGGAAGGGTGGGATCCTGGGCTCCCGTTTGGCCCCATGTTTCATTTACAGCCAGTATTTAGGGACCACTGAGAGTCACAGAGGTTTTATGTGATCTTGCTCCTTAGTGTTTGTATCACTTCTCATTTTCTGAAACCTTGCCAGCAAAAGCTTTTGCTGTGCTGCTGTTTGAGCCTCACAGTGCTGGACACTTATTCAAAGCTCTGAATCAATTCCCATGTACAGTGTGGAATATCCAGCTGCAGATTTACTGGGCTAGAAAAATATTTCCCCTTTGTTTTTAGCTTCCCGTGGTGCAGTCCATAGCTCCTCTGAATGGCCCGAAGGCAGGAGGAACAAGAGTGACCATCACAGGCAGCAGGCTGGATGTCGGCTCAGAGCTCCGCGTCCTCATCAACTCCTCCAAGCAGTGCACGGACCTCAGGTGGGAGCAGGGCTGGGGCTGGCACTGGAGTAGTGAGGGGAGCCAAAGCGTTAGGAGGGTTGGTATTGTCCCCCAAGAAGGCAGGCAGAGCGAGGGTTTTGACGGGGGCACCACTGCATGCTGGCATCCCCTGCTGGAGTGGGCCCAGCAGCCGGGGCTGTGAGCTGAGAGCTGCCCCTTGGCCGGCCTGGGAACAGCTAGCTGGCTTGAGGAACAGCTAGCTGGCATGTGGCAGGAAGCTCCTTGTCATCTGTGGCTGCCAGCTGCCTGTTGGGGTGCTCAGGCACACCAGGCTGCAGCTCCTGCAGCTGTCCCCTCCTGTCCCCACGCAGCCGCACCGACAGCACCATCACCTGCACCATGCCCGCCGTGGAGCTCACCACGGCTGTGCCAGTCTGCGTGCAGTTCGAGAACAAGTCTTGTGCCAGCCACAACATCACTTTCAAGTATGAGAAGAACCCGGTTATATCAGACATCAACCCCAAAAAGAGCCAGATCAGGTGAGATCCTGCCCTAGCTGGGGCAGCTCCAGGTGGGAGAGGGTGGCGAGAGGGTCCTGCCAGGAGAAAGGGGCTGCTCAGCTCTGGGCTGGACGGGTATAGAGAGTGCTTAGCTTGCTCTTGGGGTGCTCCAGGGTAACCCCAGCGTGAGAGTAGAAGAGGTCTCACACACCAGGACTGTCCATAGCTTGTTATGATGTATTTACTAGTGGATATATGTCAGCCTTGGTAACTATACTGTGCACACCTGGTGAGTGCTTTGGGCAGGCCCAGGTGGGGGCTCTATGACACCCTGAGGATTTTTCTTGGCAGTAAAACTGCTGGAGGATAAGATGAGTTTTGTAATTTTGGATTTCAACTTTCCCTGAGGTCACAGTATTTAATTTTTAAAGTGTGTTGCTTTTAGTTTCACATCTCTGTGGAGTTCTCAGGCTTCTGTTCCTTAGAATACCGTGGTGAAATACCACCCTGCTCACCTGTGGAGCCTGAAAAACCCAGGGCTGATAGGAAATCTGGGAGGGCAGTGGCAGTGCTGCAGGACACTGCTGAAGGCAGCACGCCCAGGGGCGAGCAGGAGCAGGCTCTGGTGGTCTGACCCTCTTGGAACAAAGCTGCCTCTCTGTTCCCAAACACAATGCCAAGGCTGCAGGCTGTGGGAATGTTAGGGGAAAGGCAGAGTCATGACTCAGCCAGGCTTCCAACTGCTGAGTGGCAAGAGCAGTGTCTAAAAAGAGACAAGGGAAGAATGTCCTGCCTGTAGTCACAAAGGAAACCACTGGGGTATTTCTCAGTCACCTTAGTCTGCTTCCTTGGTACTTAGAGCCATTCCCAAATTTCAGAGAGCAGGGCTGGTAACTGCAGGCTCTCTCCAGCCTCTGGCGTGGCTCTTGCAGTCTGACTACTTCAGCACATTGCTGGGCTATTGACAATGAGGTACCAATAACTTTTGTAAAAATTTAGCTGGATCTGATTTCTCTTACTATATGGATAAAATAATGCATATAACCAAAATCTAAACCAATGCAAAATTGTACACTAGTCTGCAGATGTGAGAGGCTAGTGAGGAACTTGGATCATAACTTCCTAGTGATATTCCAGGCTTCAGAGAACCCTGGGGCCTTGTGCCCAAAGTCACTGTGCCTGGAGTGCTCTTCAGATAACAGGACTTGTGAGTCTTGCCTGTTCCCTGGCAAATACTCCAGACAAGTCAGATGTGATAGGGGGAAGGTGGGTCTAGGGTGCAGATGGGTGGTAATGGTTCTCCAGCTGTTGCTCTGCCTTGTGCACATTGGGCTGCTCATTATTCTTGTTGGTTGACTGCACAGTGTTGCATTCCCCCCAAGCAGATTCAAAACACAGCAATTCTCACATTTTGGTCTAAATCATAACTTCCTGGGAGATGCAGGATGAGGGACATTTCCCTCTCCAAGTCTCACAGTTCTGTGTGGGTTGCTGCAGGGCAGGGGATGTGTCCTGGCCATCACTTCAGAGGTCACTTACATGGCCAGTGGCCAGGATGCCTGCTGCATACCCTGGCATGCAGAGGCTGCTCTTCTGGACAGTGGGAGTAAGGGGGACAGCTCACTGCTGCTGGAAGAGGCTCCCCGCTTTCCACCAGAGCATCTACTCCTCCTTCCTTCCTTTCTTCCATGATGTTGGGGTAGCTGTGTAGGTAGCTCCCTACTTCCCCTCTAAGTAGGAAGAAAAATTTGGCTGTTGGGTTACATTTTCTGCTGAGGCAGCTTGGAAATGTCTCTGAGAAAAAGGCAGGAGGAAGATGCAGCCCTCGCATGCCACTGCTGCACTGTCCCCTGCAGTCACCCTCTCCTTCTTCCCTTCTCAAAGCGGGGGCAGGATCATCACCCTGGAAGGAAGAGGATTTGGGCTGGTGCAGAACGTGTCCATGGCTGTCCGTGGCATCGGCAGAGAGCACACGGTGGGTGTGTGGGCCAGGGCTGGCCCGGTGGTGCAGCAGGGCTCAGGGCTGCTGCCCGAGGCTGGCCCGTGCCTCGGGACGGGCCGGGAGCGCTCGTGGTGCGGGCTGTGACGGGCTCACCCTGCTGCTTTCAGCGCTGTAAGGTGCACTCTGACACGGCCATCACCTGCCCCTCTCCTGCTGCCTCCAACGTCACTGTGGGGAGCAAGCCAGCCCCTGTGGATTTCTACCTCAACGGGCGCCTGTACACGGACGAGCGCGCGGCTCTGGATGAGGACATGTACCCCGAGGAGGCCCTGCACGTCAGCAAATTCAGCCTGGGCTACTACGCTGACCCCCAGTTCTCCACAGCCAAGAAGGAGAAGTGGATCAAGCACCATCCTGGCGAGCCCTTAACTCTGGTCATACACGTAAGAGGGTGGCTGTTACAGCTCTGCTTCTCTCTGCGTGCTGCCAGCCCCACCCCGGGCAGCTCCTCAGTCCTAGGTGCCAGCACGGGGACCGTCCACAGACACAGGACAGAGAAGGGGGTGGATGGGAACTGGAGAGGCAGGAGCAGGTGATTTTGGCTCAGCCTGCAGCTTCTGCATCTCTCCACCCCAGGAAATGCAGCCTGGTCTGGGGATGCCTTTTGAGGCATGATGCCAGAGAGCTGCCTGGGGAGGGTGCTGCAGCAAGGGGCTAAATGAAATACTGGACATGTGGAAAATAGCTGCAATGCCCTGGCCTGAAACCAGGCAGGTGCTGCAGAAGGGCCTGACAATAGGTGTTTATTCCTGCAGAAACAGATCATTCATTCTTCTCTTTTGGCTACTGGATTCAGCTCAGCTCCCAAGGAAGTTGGGGTGCAGAAGCTGATTGGCCTGGACAATGAGCAATAGTAATTCAAAGGCCATTGTTTGCTGCAGGATATCCTAATGGTTTGCAACGTGCTCCAGAAATGTGCTCCCCCTTTCTCAGGCTTTGCAGGGGCATGCCCTGGCTGTCCCCTCCGTTGTACATCCTTCCCCCCTCCCAGATGGGTGCTTACATCCTTATCTTCCATGCACAGCAGGCCCGATCAAAAGCAGATTTTTCCAGGTTCCATGAGGGGCTTGTTCATCCTATGCCCCATGCTGAGTGAAGAATGGGAAACAGGAAAATGGGGAATGGCCTGGGTTTGGCTTTCCTGTGGAGTGCTGGAAAAATGTCCTTGGTGAGGGAAGTCTTCCCAGGTCTGCAAAACAGCAGGGAATGTGGAAATTAAAGCAGGAAGATCGATTGCAATTCTAACTGCTATGCTGCAGCCTGACATCCTGATTTTTTTTCTGCCTTTAGAAAGAGCCTGACAGCCTGGGCCTGGAGAGCAATGAATACCAGGTGAAAATCGGCCTGATCTCGTGCGAGATCCAGATCGTTTCAGACAAAGTCATCCACTGCTCCATCAACGAGTCGCTGAGCTCCTCGGAAAGGCAGCTGCCGGTGACGGTGAGCGCGGGGCAGGGGTCCCGCAGCACAGGGCAGCGGTCAGCAGGCCGCAGGGCCGGGCAGCGGTCAGCAGTCTGCAGGGCCAGGCAGCGGTCAGCAGGCTGCAGGGCCAGGCAGCGGTCAGCAGGCTGCAGCACGGGGCAGCGGTCAGCAGGCCGCAGCACGGGGCAGCGGTCAGCAGTCTGCAGGGCCAGGCAGCGGTCAGCAGGCTGCAGGGCCAGGCAGCGGTCAGCAGTCTGCAGGGCCAGGCAGCGGTCAGCAGGCTGCAGGGCCAGGCAGCGGTCAGCAGGCCGCAGGGCCGGGCTGCGGCCAGGGCCGCTCCAGGCCGGGGCATGGCCCTGCCCGCTGTGCCCCGGCAGGGCGCTTGGCTCTCAGGCATGTGAGGTTTTGTCACCTGCGCTGATTTCCTGCTCCTCATCAGATGAGTTTGGGGATTTCCTTACAGCTTTAAGCCGTTGGCTCTGCCCCACCAGCAGAAGGGCCGTGAGAGCCCAGCCTCACCGAGCTGGGTCCCTGCCGGGTCCCTGCGGCGTGACCGGGCGGGCGACAGCAGCACTCAGGCCTTCCAAAGGCTGCTGCTGTCTCGCTGCAGAGTTCCGTGCTCTGGGCTGCTCTTTCTCTTTGTGTCTGCAAATGCGCCACACTTTGCTACTGTCCTGCTTTCCAGAGGGCTGGACCGAGCTGCTGTGCTTGCCTCAGTTTCCCTCACGTCGCACAGCCCGTGGCCATGCAGGGATGTGACCGTGGATCTCTATCTGCAGAGAAAATGCCTCCACCTCCGTGGGAGACCCTCTCCCAGTCCGTGTGCTGGCAGGGGATGGATGGGAGCTGAGGCACAGGCAGGGAGGGCAAGGAGAGCTGGAGGAAGCTGCAGAGCTCTGGAGCTGGGCTGCCCAGGGGAAAGGCACACTGCACTACCAATTCTCTGACAGGATTGTCCAGTGTGCTGCAAACAGTCTGAGGTGTATGAAATTCTGTTGCAAACTGGAAAAATGGAAATGCAGAAGTAACAGGATTTCTTGAGTCATCTTAACAGGAATTTTAAACAGGGTAATTTATAAATTTTTTTTTGTAAGAATTGAGAAACAGGGGAATTCCTTTGTGGAAGAAAAGGAATTTTTGACTTTGCCAGTGTTGGTGTGACATTAACCAGCCACGGCAAGTCCCCAGGAAGCAGGAGAGTGATACCCAGCCCTAAATATCACAAGGGTGTTCAGAGTGCACCAGCAATGAAAGTGCAGCTAGTTAATCTGCTTATATTCATACCTGTGCACCCTTACTAAACCTGCAGGCACGGCTGGGCCCTCGCCTGCCGGCCTTTCCACGAGTGGCCGCTGCTTTGTCACACGTGAGAAATGGCTTTGGTGGCACAGGGCAGGCACGTGCAGGGGTCACACTGAGTGTTGTTTGTGTAGAGCTGTCCAGCTGCACAGGAGACACTTGTCAAGACATTCAGGCCCATCTTTGTTTATGACCACACAGTTTAAACATTGAATTAAACAGCAGCTGAGGCATTTTTTCTCTGAAAAATGCAAAAGGCTGAGCTGGTGAGGGGAAAAAGACTCAAAACATATTAAGGAGCTGCCTCATTGCAGCCATGTCCTCACCAGTGCTCCCAGAGCTAGGGCTGGATTTCCCTCAGGATGGAGCTGTGTGTCTGGTGGTGGAGGTGGTGGGAAGACCCTTCTTGTGGGATGGCTTTGGTCTAGTGGCTGAGAGCTGCTGGAATTTCACCTTTCCCAGAGGTGTTCCATGACACAGGAAATCAAGATTAATTTTGATTAATCAAATGATTAATCAAAACCATAAGATTCTTTGAGCTCTTCGCTACGTAATTTCAAGGTCTTTCTCAAGTTTCTCTCACTTCTCATTCCCCGGGAGAAGTGAAACTCACATTTCCAGAAGTGAAAGCCTTGTGTGGTCATGAGTTTTCCTTATCAGATGATGCTGTGGAATTCTTTCATCCCAAGGCCCCAAAGAGCTGTTTGTAAATGGCACCCAGTGACTTGCCAGCCTGTGATGTGTCTGGCCTCTTCCCTTCTGGAGATCAGGAGACCCAAGGACTGAGCTCTAGTGGTTTGTGCTTGTCACAAGAAGTACGGGCTGGGAGCAGAGCCAGCACCTTCTGACACCCCTTTCACTGCTTTAGCCACAAGATCATTACTCCTCTATGGTCTCATTTATTTTTATTCCCTTAGTTTATTTGTATTTCAAGGACTTTCAAGTTTCTTAACCCTACTTTTTCTGGGTGGCAGCCGTTCTGAGTTTGGAGGAGAAAGGCGAGTGCAGCAGGGCTCCAAAGGCTGTTCAGAGCCATGAAGGAGCTGGTGATTAATGGAAGTGATTTCTAGTAAGAGCAGCACAGGCAGCCTTGTACAGTGCCACGGGCTCTCTGGGAAAGGGCTGTCTCTTCTGGGGCAGGTGCAGTGGGGCCATGGAGCCTGCAGTTCTGCCACCAAAGCTCTGCTGGCTCTGGGATGGGCACCACTGCAGCATCCCAGCCTGCTGAGTGTGGCCTCGGCATCCCCCAGAGCACAGGAGGGGGACTGGGCTCCCTGGGGGCACACAGAGTGCCCGGGCTCTGGCAGTGAAGGGCACAGCCCAGCCTCCCTCCCTCCGAGCCTGGGAGGCTGTGCCAGCTCGCTCAGAGTCCTCTGCTGAGCGCTGCCCTGTGTCCCTCCCTGCTCCCAGCCCTTTGGCAACCTGCTGATCAGCTCCTGCTTTTCCTGCCTCCTTCTCCTTCCTCAGATCCAAGTTGGAAAGTTCAACTACACAATTGCCATGCTGCACCTTGGGGGAGGAGAAACCGCGATCATTGTGTCCATCGTTATCTGCAGCATCCTGCTGGTCCTCTCTGTTGTTGGTAAGGGAAAGAACGACGTGTTCCCAGGCTGTGGCAAGGTTTTTTTCTCTGCATGTGGAGGCGTGAACTCTGAGTGCTGCAGTTGTGCAGAACCTGAAGCTAGTCTGGGTGCAGCAGGTATGGCACACAGCTAGTACCAGGACCACAGCTCCCTGCAGCACAGAGCATTTCCTGGCTGAATCCACAGCTCAACTCTGTTACTTGAACCTGTGATATTTATAAACTTACCCAAATACTTAGTAATTACTATAATACAAAATAAAGGAGGATGTGAGAAAGTGATCTTGGTCACAGGCATGATTGTCCCAGACCATTCTAAAGGTGCTGTTAGTCCAAGATCCCATCATCAGGAACAAGCAGTGACAGGTGCCTGGCCGAGTAGGAAGAGCAGAGCCAGCATCCTTAGCTGCAAATCTGAAGCAGGCACATTAGTGTATGTACCTGGCTGGAAGCCGTGCTGCACACCTTTGTCCTTGGGCTAGGGTCCCTGCTCATCACGTGCCCAGAATGACTGTGCAGCAAGAAACCTTCAATTTCACAGCAAATGAGGGCTTTAGAGTAAGGATTTAATTTATTTTTAACAAAGGCTATAATGCACCCTATTTACTAGATGCATCACCCATCATTAGAAACATATTTCTGGAGGCATGGGAAGACTGTCAGATGTGAACACTGTAATACAGGTGGTAAACGTCCTCAATTCTGTATTCACTAATCAGCTGGAACACATTAATACACAGTTAAGCTGAATACAGACAGCCCAGACCTAAATTGAAGATGACAGTTACAGCACGATCATTAAATTCCAGCTGGTTCTACTTATTTACAGATAATCGACAACTGCCTGAGCAGATACCAGTCTGGTGGTAGGTGTGAAACCAACTCTGGCTTTAGCTTTCTGCGCTTGTGTCAGAGAGAACTGCTCTGATCCCAGCTGCAGCTGCTCCTAAGCCCAGGTCCAAAAGGCTTCTTCTCTTCCTCTTTTCCAGCTCTCTTTGTGTTCTGCACAAAGAGCCGCAGAGCTGAGCGCTACTGGCAGAAAACCCTGCTCCAGATGGAGGAGATGGAGTCACAGATCCGGGAGGAAATCCGCAAAGGTAAGTCACTGTCTGGGTGCTGAGGAACCACGGCTAGGAGCAAGGTGTTGGGTTAGCAGGCTTGAAGCAATTCACCTTGTGCTGTGTAGAAGTTTGTAGAACTATTTGTAGGAGAATTCCTGTGATCGCCTGTGAGTTTTGACAGGGTTTGGGAATGATGCTCAGTGGCTGGAAGTGTGGTCCTGCCACTGTCCTGCTGCCTGGCTTGGGCAAGCCACTGATCTCCAGTGCCACCAGCTTCTCTGCCCTGGGGTTAATGGCCCTTGGCTGTGTCAGAGGGTTACTTGTAGGTCACGCTAACCTTCAGTGTGCTTTCCTCTTGGGTGCAACAGAAACTGCAGCATGCTCCTCGTAGAGCAATGGGAAGAGTATTCCAGGTGTTGGCACCCACCACCCCGGGGTCCATGATCCTGCCACATCGGCTGATGTCCTGTCCTGAGGGCACTGGGGCTCCTGGGGCAGAGAATGTTCTGTCAGTCTGGTGGCTAAACCCCGATGGGAATGTGCTGCCCAGAGCAAACACGGCTTCAGCCCCGCGAGGGCACGGCGGGAGGGGCAGAGCTGAGGCTGCCGTGCCTCCCTCGGCTGGTGGAGGACTGGGCTCTCACCATCTCTGGGTCTCTTTGTCTAAGGTTTTGCAGAGCTGCAGACAGACATGACAGACCTGACCAAGGAGCTAAACCGCAGCCAGGGGATCCCCTTCCTGGAGTACAAGCACTTTGTCACCAGGACATTCTTCCCCAAAGTAAGGAGACAGCGTGTGTCACGGGCACCTCATTGCTCCCAGATATGTCCCACCCAGTTTAGGGCTCTGCTGAAGGGCTTTTACAGTGTCACAAAATCATTCCACTGTTATGTATTTACTTGTCACATATTTCAGCCTTAATTATCATCAAAAGTGGAGCTGCACCTCCTGGGGTGTCATACAAGATCGGGCTTACTCACACATGACAGAAGCTGGCGGCAACTGTCCCAGCAGTTGCTCTGGCTTGCCTGTTTGGGGCCATTGCACACCTCCTCTGAAAAAGCTCTCACACAAGCAGAGTGCTGGGGTCTCCTCCTCAAGGGCTCCAGTGTCATCCCACTCCTTCAGCAGAGGCTGAAGGGTGGCTGAAGGGTGAATTGGCAACAAGGAGAGGGGGTTTTTGTCCCATGCAGGGTGCCCCCAAGCATTCCCAGCAGCTCGCCCAATCCTCAGGAGTTCTTTGGGTGTCTCTGTCTCTCCCTTCCTCCCTGTCCAAGGCTGGGTGCGTGGTGCTCCCAGTCGGGTGTCCCTTGGGCACCCAGTTCCAGTCTGTCTGCCCGGAGTCCCTTACAGAGCTGCAGCAGACGTGCTGGTGCCGTCATTCCTGTCACCGGCTGCTGTGGCTGTGTGCCCTTCACTGCGGCTGTATTTCACCCCCGAGGCAGTTGTGTGTCAGTGCTGAGGACTGAGATGATGATTTATGACTGCAGAGTGTTTCATTAGTAGCTATTACTCAGGTTTTTCAGTTACCCAGTCTCCATATCTCGACACACTGGAGGCTTTAAATTCAGGCTGGTATATGAATGCTAGAGATTTAAACATTTTTCCCATCTGTTTTAAAAGTTACATATGTTGAAACACCCAGAACTCCTCTATTTTGATATAGTCTTCTGTAAAGCTTTCTCTTCTGGGAATTTTCTAGCTATCACATTACTCTATTTGCAGTCTCCCTGCCCTCACAGCCTTGCGTCTGAGCAGACGTCTGCCTCCCCCCATCCTTGTGGTGTTTGCTCATCCAGGAGCCTCTTGCAAAGTGTTTCAAGGCTCCATCAGCCAGTCTCGTGCATGTCTTTGGAATGGGTGGCTTTAGTCCCAGTGGCATGCCTCCCCATCTTATTCCCCCTAGGTGCACAGCACGCAGGTGCCCTCCCCTAACTCTGTGCTTGGTTCCAGTGTTCCTCTCTCTACGAGGAGTGCTACATCCTGCCATCCCAGCAGCTCAGCTCACAGGTGGGCTCCCAGGTCCAGGAAACACATCCACTCCTGGTGGGGGAGTGGAAGGTGAGTAACCCACTAACAGAACAAACACTTTTGGGTGTTGCTAACCATCAACTCAGACCAGCACTGGAGCAGCTTTAGCCAGCTGAAGAAGGCAAATCTGTGAATCTGCTCTTGTGTGGAGGAGCATGGCCTGGGATCCTTCCTGACTCTGTAACCCTGAGGCTGCAGTGAGGTCTCCCTCTAGAACTTCTGAAAGCTGACCAAACCCAGCCCCATTCACCTTTCCTTGTACACCCACTAATTGCTTTGTTAGCCCTCAGATGCGCTTGCTCCATCTGTCTCGTAGTGGGGAGCCCCAAACTGGCCACAGTGCTCCAGGTATCCTCAGGAGTGCTGAACAGAGTGGAATGGCCACTGACACTGACCCAGCTGGTGTTCCTTGCCAGCAAAGCTGCTGGCTGTGTCAGGTAGAGGGAAGAAGGGCTCTTCTCCTTAGTGTCTCTGTGCTCAGTAGGGGCGTCCCTGCCTTTGGGAGGGATAAAATGTGGAGGGAAACAAAAAGCAGGGTTTTCTTAGTCTGCTTTCTAAATTTTTCTTCAGATCCCTGAGAACTGCAGACCCAACATGGAAGAAGGAATTTCTCTGTTCTCCACCCTACTCAACAACAAGCACTTTCTCATTGTATTTGTTCATGCTCTTGAACAACAGAAGGACTTTGCTGTCAGAGACAGGTAAAAGCTCCAGAACCAAAGACTTGTCTGGGACTGTGTGTTTCAGTGGAAGGTTGAGTCACACTTGCCTACACGTTTCTGTTAGAGATGGGTGGCCATGAACCCTGAAGAGCACTCACAGATTTGGCTTACCAGTAAGAGTGTGCAAGCTGACCTGAAGTCCTGCAGCACTGAATGAGGGTTGGAACTTCTAAAGGCTCATGAAAATTGTCTGAAAGACTGCCTTTGTGTATTGGGTATTTTAGTGCCAGCCAGCACTTCAGTCTTGTTGGACTGGGGCTTGAGTCCTGTGTCATTCTGTGTTTCAGGTGTAACCTGGCCTCCCTGCTTACTATTGCATTGCATGGGAAACTGGAGTACTACACCAGCATCATGAAGGACCTCTTGGTGGATCTAATAGATGCTTCAGCTTCCAAAAACCCCAAGCTTATGCTGAGGAGGACCGAATCTGTGGTGGAGAAGATGCTCACCAACTGGATGTCCATCTGCATGTACAGCTATCTCAGAGTAAGAGAAGCAGGCCCTGCTGTGGTGGGTGCAGGGTCACCTCTGTGTGCAGCAGGGATGAGGGATGCGGGGGACAGCCTAGCACCTGACACTTGCTAGCAGTGCCACTCAAATGGTCACTAACACTTGGCAAACTGAATGATTCATGTGTAGGAAAGCAACCTGAAGTTCAGTGGCTTCTCCACTTCTGCCCAGGATGTTGGTGAGCTTAGTCTTTGTGGCAGGCCAGAGCACGGCTCAACATTTTCACTGTGCTTGAGAAGAGCCATAGGGGAGCTGAAAAACAACCAGAGTGAAAAACAACCGGAGGTTTTGGGGCTCTCCTGGTTATGGGTTGTTTCTGTGACCAGCTGGCACAGCCGTGCTGGCCAGTCAGTGTGTCTGTCTTGGGAGGCACGAGGGCAGGCAGAGGGGCTGCTCTGTATCAGAGCCCGTGGGTGTGTGGGGCCTCTTATGCAGAGGAATCCTCGTGGCTCTGCACAAATCTGAGCAGGAGAGGTGGGCTGTCTGTCCCAGAAGGCTGACGGTCTTCTCTCAGTAATGAGCAGGAAAATGTTTGGCATCTCAGAGCCATCAGCAGTCCATCTGCTCAGTGCTTTATCTCCAACATTTGCCAGTTCTGTTTGGAATTCCCCAGAAGAATTGAGCAATAACTTAATTGATTCCACAGCAGTTAATTGGAGGATACCCCATTATACCCGCGGGAAGAGCCTTGAAAAAGCCTTTGAAAAAATCTCTTTTCCCAAAGTGTTGTCTACATCCACAGAAGCGGTTCTATATTGTCTTCATACATATTGTGACGTCTTCTGATTCCAGAGGATCACTTTTTGTCCTAAAGCTACTGGTTTTGTAGTTCATAATCTTTCATTCTAGCTGACACAGTTAGCCAGTCAAATAAAAGAAGAGTTACCGGAGTGGATCAGGATGACTGTGCCAGTGTAGCCCAGCTATCTAGTCTGTAAGGATAGAAAAGAGGAAATTAGTAAATTTTTTTTAATCTTCAGATTTTGTGCCTGTAGTCAACCACTGGAGAAAAAAAAGTGCTGATTTTCCCTTTTGGGGAGGGGAGACCACATGTGAGGCATCTGATCCAGCTCCAGCTTGTGCTAAAAATGGATATTGTGCAAGAAGGCTTTCTCAGGGAAAAAAGAGGAAAGTGGAGCCTTATCACATGGGCCTGAAGGCTTGAGCACATTACACGGCTCACTAATGGCAGGAGCTCCACACGCAGCACCGGCTGGGAGCTGCCCATTCCTGCAGGCTGCTCTGGGGCCGGGGGCTGTGGCCATCCCCGGGGGGCTGTGGCCATCCCCAGGGCTGGGCAGTGCTGCTGTGAGCTGCGAGCTGTGAGCTGTGAGCTGTGAGGTGGCTTCCCCTGGCCCACAGAGGCAGGATGGAACAGGGTATGGTGGGAGCAGGACTGTGAGGTCCTGTGAGGTGAGTGGCTCCTTTCCAGAGTCAAGCTGCTGGCTGAATGTGCATTTCCATCCACCTGCAGCAGGTTCTTGGCAGGGGCTAAGGCTACACACTGATTTTGCAGTCCCCTCCAGGCCTCCCATGTCCAGCCTGAAGCCATGGCAGTGCAGAGCATTGCTGCAGCCTCTTTTCCATCTCTGAATGCAAATGCACAATGAAACTGATTTCCAGGAGATTCTGATATCTCATATGCTCCACAGTGAGGGTGGGATCCGAGGCGACACTGAGCTGCTCCTGAAATATGGAAAGGGAAAATAATTGATCAGACAGGAGTGTCTGGAGAGGAAATTTGTCCCAGGTGACACAAGTCCAGCTGTGCAAAGGGACAAGAGCTTGATCCAGATCAGCAGAGCTGGCATCTTCCCCATGACATGAGGATGGAGCTGCTGTGGTAGAACAGACAGCACCTCCTTCCACACGGCTGGTGTCAGCTCAGGGCTGTGATTTAAATAGTAGTGATAGCCAAAGGCCTCCCATGTGCCTTGCGTTCCTTAGGATCAAACTCTGCTGCCTTCGGAGAGGCATTTCTTGGTTAAAAAGAAGGCTTGCCTGCCTGCCTGTAGCTCTGCTCTGTCAGACATGTGATGATGGGCCTGGTTTTCATTCCTGAATTATCCCCATTAATCACAATGTCTATTTGAAACAGCTGCTGTGAAAGTCCCCGCCGTTGTGCAGTGGAAGAATTCCAAGTGCTTGTATTTTCCCTTGTAAGTCAACGCTACATGCTCAAAACATTTGTTTCGCATTAATGCTCTGCCTAACAGCCCGTCCATTTGTGTTTTGGGGGAAAATGATTTGAAGGAGCTGTCTTCAGCTGGGAAGGAGCTGCCGGCCGCAGGCATTCGTGGCCTGCACATGTGGAGGGCACCTGAAGGCGATGGAGTCCCCTGGCAGGGCTGGCCTGGTGTGAGAGGGGCTGGGATCAGCTGGCAGGGGCTTGCTGCGAGGCACAGGGGCTCAGAGGTAACTTGCAGCATTTGCACAATCGATGCACGACTCTGCTTCTGCAGAACTGAGAATGGTAGATGAAATGGTCCACGTCTGTTCTTTGTGCTACAGTTTTGGTGGAAAAAGCTTTAAAAGAAAATCTTCATAATCTACCATGGTACCATTGTGCCTGGCTCCTAACAGGGCTGGGGAGTTAAAGTAGGGTTCTGGAATTTGGCTTTTATGTCTGGGTCCAAGCTTACCCAAGTTTTGCATGTGGGATGGAGGTTTGGTTCTTCACAGAATGCAAACAGATAATTGTCCCAAAATTAGCAGGCACTTGGGATAAGCAGCTGTTTTCTGTGCTGTTCCCACCCTGGGCTCACCAAAACATTTTGGAAATGGCTGTAGTGTGTTCCTGGGAGGACATCTATAACAACTTGTCAGAGTTGTGTTAATAGGGCAGCAGCATGTGAATCCAGTCTGTGCTCTAAACCTTTTTGTTTTCCCAAGCATATAAAAACGAAGCCCTCCCACGCTCCGTGTGCGTGGAACAGTTCAAGTCCTGCCAGCCTGAACTGTGCTTTCCATTACTGCAGTTATTTCAGTGCCCTGGGTGGCTTTAAGGGCCCATAACAGTTCAGTCAAAAATGAAAATGAAGTCTCATTAAAATACATTCACAATAGGAGGAAAAAAAGGCCCCAGACTGTGTTTTTTTAAAGTATTTTTTTGTCCTGAATCAGCACTGATCTCTTCTGGTTAGACTTCCTTTCTCCTAACCAGCCAAGTCCAAAGACAGTTTTGATTCCTTTCCAGATGAGTTTTCCGAACAATGCTGGAGGTTTCACAAGTTTGCCATTTTATCTCTAGTTCCTGCCTGCCAGCCCATCTTTCCCTGCTTTGAAATTCGCTGTCTGATTAGCACTTTTGCAGATTTCCATAACATCCCACAGTTCCTGAGCCTGACAGCCAAAAAGCCGAACAGAAATAGCATCTGGGCAGTGGGGCGCTGTGGCTGTGTCCCTGTGGGCTGGCCTGGCCAAACCCTGCCCCTGCACCCTGCAGTGCCCACAGGGACCCCACGCTTCCAGGGCAGCCTCGTGTGAGCAGGAAGGTGCTGCAGGGCCAGCCCATGCTCATTTCATATCAGCAGGACTCGCCCTTTTTTCGTGGTTTTGGAGACACTGCAGTCTCCCGGTGGCTGGAGCTGCCCACAGAGGGATGGGAAGGCTCCAGAGCCCAGCCCTGAGTTTAGCCTCAGGTTTGTCCCTGCTCACGTGTGGCACAAACAGGGCTCCTGTTGGTAGCATGGCCAGTGTCAGACGCTGATGAGCCCGTGTGCAGGCCAGCCAGGCTGTCTTGCAGTTTGCAGTGTGAGGGCAGCGGTCCTGCAGCCCATGCAGCTCCATGTCTGTGTTGTCCCCTTGTTATATCTTGCTTCTGCCTTTCTCTCCAAAATTAACTCTTTGTGTCTTCTGCACATTCTTCACTCCTTGCGATCCTCAGCTTCTCCACTTCCTGACTCCACACCTTCCCCTACATTCTGAAAGCCATGCCTTCCTGCATTCCCGCAGCCCTGCTCTGAGCCCATTTGTGCTGCCTGCCCACAGGGGCATTGCAGGAGTCATTAGACCCCTGCAGGAGCCCAGGGAGCATCCCAGTATTCATGAAGTTACCCTTGACAAAAGTGAGTGCCCTGCTGGCACAGACAGCGTGTGCCCACTGACAGCCCTGCTGTATCACCCTATCATCAACCACACCAAATGCAGCGCATCCAAATTGACATCGAACTAATTGCTTTAGCAATTAGCAATTTTATAGGGCAATTAGAATAAAAGAATCACCAAGTTTTAATTAAGAAGCAGATTGAACAGGATTTAGCAGTTCCTAGCTGAGAAATATCAAAACCGTGGGGTATCTGTTGTCTTGAGCAGGCTCTCAGATGGCAGGCCCGTGTGTGCAGGGGGGAGGCTCAGAATGCATAAATGTGCAGAATTTGCACTTGCCTCATTGGAAGGAAATTGAACGTGAACATTAGGGAGAATGGGATGTACTCTACAACTGAAGAGTTCCTTAAGAAAATAGCTTATGTTTCCCTTGCACATCAGTGCAGCAGGCAGAAGTGGCTCAGAAATCTGGCATTAAACTGTGTAGCTGAATCACACCAGAAATAGATGCTCCCTGTTATATTCTTCATTCTTGCTGCAGGAGTGCCACAGTTCACCTCTCTCCCATGAACTTGGGTTTGATGAATGTAAGGAGTTAAATGGTGTGTTTGCTTGCTGTCACATGGGAACAGCTTGTTGACCTTGATCCTGTGTTTTGCTGTGATGAGGGCTCTGCTGTGGTATGAGAAGTATGAACGCTGGTTCCCAGAGCCACAGGCCCAGGCTGTGGGCTCACTCCCATGGAGTTCAGTGGCAAACCAGGCAGCTCAGTGAGGGGTTAGCCTGACACATTCATGAGAAAGCAGGGTGCCCAAATACCTCTGTTCCTGGATGTTTGTGCACGCCAGCCCCATCACGCTGCTGAGTGCAGCATGTTGTACAGTCTGCACCCTGTCAAATTGCAGGAAGCATCTCTGTAGCACAGTATGCTAGATTCTCCCTGTTCCTCTGTAATTCACATGTAAATTAATGCACATTTGCATTTTGCTGAGTATCATGTGTGCACATCCCTGCTCAGCACAGCCATGCATATGCCCCTGCCTTCTGAGCAGCACCCCAGCTCTGCCCCTGAGGCAGCACAGGCTGGCACAGCCCGTCGGTGGCATTCCACAGCCCCGGTGCTCGCTGCAGAACTTGGATGGGGTATGTTGATGCTGACAGCTACAGCATCCCCAAAAACGGCCTGCGGCTGTTGTTGGCTGTTGTGTCCTCTTCCCCATCTGCGCTGTCATGTTGCCACAAGTCTGAAAACTTCTGAGCAGCCTCAAAGAGAGGCAAGTGGGAGCTGGGAGGCAGCAACCCCCAGCACCTGGGATGGACTAGTCCTGCTCCCTGGTGTGGAGAGGCACCTTCAGTGTCCACACAGAGCCTGTCCCTGCCACGCTGCTGATGGACCTGTCACCACCAGGGCCGGTTTGCTGACTGGGTCTTCTTTCCTTTCCCCAGGAGACAGTTGGAGAGCCCTTCTTCCTGCTGATCTGTGCCATCAAGCAGCAGATTAACAAGGGTTCCATCGATGCCATTACAGGGAAGGCCAGGTACACCCTCAACGAGGAGTGGCTGCTGAGGGAGAACATAGAGGCAAAGCCCAGGGTGAGTAGCCACGTGCTGGGGCTTCCCCGGAGCCAGGGTGAGAGGGAGATCCTGCTTAGAGCATTTAGGTGAGCACAGCTGGTGAGAAGGTACCCAGGCAAAAAGAGGAGAGGGTTTCTTACAGAAAGGGCTGCTCGCCTTGCCCTGCAGCTTTGGGCTGCAGCTGAGGCAGTAGCTGTGCCTCCCAGGTCTCTGAGCGGGTGTCTGTGGCAGCCTGGAGGCCCTCACAGCTGCATGTCCACTGTCCAGGAGCTCTCAAGGGCTCCATGCACTGCAGCAGGCTTAGAGTTGGTTTAAGCAGTGAAGCTTGGCCCGTTGCATCAAGCAGAGGCTGAGCAATGTGCTCTGCTGGTCCCATTAGTCACAAGTTGGAGCCAAGCAACTGAGGACATGGCTGGTAATGGGGGCTGACCCTTCCTCCTGCCTCGTGGTGATCAAACCCCATTACCAAGACAACATGAGAGGGGGCTGCTGTGTTCTCCCAGCTTGGTCAACAGAGCCCTCAGCCCCTGGGGCTGTAAATCAGTGCTTCTCATGCTGTAAAGCATCGATGGCCACATTAGTTCAGCCTGATTTCCATCAGCACGGGGCCCAGGGTGCACCAGCCAGAGCTGTGCAGACACCGCAGCTTCCAAGCATTCTTGGGAGCCAGCAGAACAGGCAGGCTGTCCCTAACAGAGTCTCTCCCTGCAGAACCTCAACGTCTCCTTCCAAGGCTGTGGGATGGACTCCCTGAGTGTCAGAGCCATGGACACGGACACACTGAGTCAAGTGAAAGAGAAAATTCTGGAGGCCTTCTGCAAGAACGTGCCCTACTCCCAGTGGCCAAGGGTGGAAGACGTTGACCTCGGTAAGGGCCAGCCACTCTGTGAAAGCAGGTGAAGCACCTAAAGTCGTGCAGCAGCTGCTGGTGCCTGTCAGAGCAGTGGGTGAAGCAGCACGGACAGGGGGGCAGACATCAGGGCAGCCATTCAGCCCCAGACCCCCTGGGCCCTGCCTCCTTCGGGCTGGGGTCTCACTTCTCCCCTCTCTGTGTTCAGAGTGGTTTGCCACCAGCACTGACAGCTACATCCTGCGGGACCTCGATGACACCTCGGTGGTGGAGGACGGCAGGAAGAAACTCAACACACTAGCACATTACAAGGTAAAGCCCGACCCCTCAGGGGAGCCCTGCCTCCTCGGAGCCTGCCCGGCCTCCAGGGCCAGCTGCGGTTCCCCTCCAAAACGGGATCATCGGGAACAAGCAGAGAGGTTGCCATAGCTCCGTGAGAGCTTCCAGGGAATAGACATCTGCCCTGGCGAGAATCTCGTTAATATTGCAACACACAGAAACTAATTAACACTCTTCATGCAAAACAAGTTATTACTGACAACAGAAAGAGGAGGGGGAAAGCTCTTATTCCCAAGGGCCACCAGCCTGGCTGATTAGTATCACTGCGCTCTTGATCCACACTCCTGCTGAAATTGCAGCTACAACTGTCAGAGCCTGCTCTGAGAGCATGGGGATACCATCGAGGAAGTGAGGCCAAAAATATGAGGAAACATGGTGAATCAGATTGTTTTCTTGACTGTTTTTCTGTTTAAAATTAAATGAAACCAGAAATACTTAACGATTTTCATATTCCCTGGTATGCCTGGAAGCGTAATCCTCCCTGGTGTGTAGCCGTGCCTGGAAAACAGAAGTGGAGCTGAGTGCTCACTGGCACGGTTATCGGGGCAGCAGCCGTGCCGCTGGCACGCTGCCCCCGAGCTGAGCAGAGGCTGCGCCAGCCCCCGCCTGCCACCGCTCCCTCCTCCCGTTTGGGGAATGGCAAACCAGCCCCTGCACAGCCAGACTCTCCTTCCTTTTCAAATCACCCGGTGTCGGCATCGCAAAATGCACCTTAGATACGTGTATTTGCCCAATTCCCATCGGCTTTGAGAACCTCACTGTCTTGTAATTGTTTTGAAAATTCCCTTTCTACATAATGGGGGACGGGCAGGGCAGGGCAGGTTCAGGGGATGTTTGTGGCAGAGCTATGATTGCACCAGATCCCCCAGCTCCTGGGATGTCCACAGGAGGCACTGGTAAGGCCCCTGTCATCAAGGCGTGCTCTTCCCTTCCTCCACAGATCCCTGAAGGAGCATCCCTGGCCATGAGTTTGACGGACAAGAAGGACACCACGCTGAGCAGAGGTAACATCTCTTCTTCCCTGCTGCTGATGACTGGGCAGGAATGCTTGCATTGTCAGAGGGTTGTCTGTGGCTGGGGATGCTGGAAGACGCTGCCAGCCCCTGTTCCTGGGTGCTGTGGGTGCAGTGACTCTAAACATGTGCTATCCAATCTCCTCCCTCTGCCTCATGGGGCGGAGGGTGCTCTCCCAGCCCTCAAGGTGTTTGCACCTTCCATCTCACACCCTCACTGGGAGCTGGCACCCAATCTGTGCTGACAGAATGAGAAGAAGGAAGAATCTGAAATCACTTGGTTGAAAAAGTCCTCTCCCTCCCAGTTACGTATATTCAGTCCCTTACCAGTGCATTTCTAGGTTTCAGGCTGTGCAGAGTGAAAACAGACCAAGTGAGACAAAAACCCACATTAAACAAGGAATTTCAAGCCCTGTTTCCAGGCTGCCTCCAGAGAGTCCTTTGCCTGCTGTGGCAAGGAGCTGCTTGGGACTGAGCTGCCCTGATGCTGAAGCTTGGGGTAATCCTGGGAGTGCAGGGCACAGCAGGGCATCACGGAGCAGGAGTGCCCCTGTGCTCACCCTGCTCCGTGCCCTCTTGAGTCTCTCTTAAAACATCCCTTGGGACACCTCAGGTCCCCCTTAAAGTACCTCCTAGGGTACTTTGCCATGAGCCTGATCATGCAATAAACAACCCCAAAACCAGGAGAAACCCTGAGATCACTTGTGGGTGAGAACGCCAGCTTGGTGTTGGGATTCTTGGGGTTCAGATGCCTCTTGACATGAAGGTCACCAGTGAAGGTGGATTTCAGTTTGAGCCCCCCTGACTGAGCCACTGTGTCTCTCTTCTTCTTCACAGTGAAGGATTTGGACACTGAAAAGTACTTCCACTTGGTAAGTATCCCTCTCCTGGCTGCAGGGATGATGGCTGCATGTGGTGGCTGCTGATATTAAATTAAATTATGTCTGCGGGCTGTAGTGCCAGATGTGATGAACAAGCTGCAACCAGGGCTCATTAGTTCTCTTCAGCAGGGTTCAAAGAGGCGCAGAAAGGTGATCTGTAGATAAAAAGCTTTATCTGTAGGTAAACTGAGGGACATGATAAAGAATTCCTGGGATGGCAGAGAAATTGCTGCGTCCGATCGAGCTGCTGGCAGCCACAGAGAGCTCAGGGGCGAGCTCAGAGCGCGGCGGGCACAGTGTCAGCGGTGGTGTCTGTGACACCTCGGCTGTCACCTGCTGGGAGCTCCTGGCATCCCGCCTGCTTCCCGGGCTGAGCAGGTCCGTGGGTTCCTGCTGCTGCAGCGTGCTGGAAGTGCCAAGTGCTAAATGCTGCTAAAAGCTGTTATGAAAAAAGGTGTTATGGACAACAACAATATTTTAGAGCCTGGTTGAGGCTTTTTTTTCTCTGCAAGCATTTCCATGCTCAAGTAGAAGCACACATGCACACACACACACATGCAGAGCAAGGAGGGAGAAGAGATGGAAAGCCAACTGTTCACATGTGAAACAATGCCAAGATGGATGTCAGTTGCTTGCTTTGTCATTTTAGAGAGTAATTCACTGACCCAACCAGTGGAATATTCATTTTTGTTTTGAAAAAGCCAGCATTCCTACATACTGTGCTTTTTCCAAATCCAAGCAAAGTTGGTTTCTGCAGAAGCCATGTGCACTGCTGCTGGGAGCCCGAGGTGCAGCACAGCCCAGGGGGCAAGCCAGCCAGCGTGCAGAGGAAGATGGATGGGTTAATTTCCTTCACCTAGGGTGAGAGAGGCAATAAAGAGCACAGGAGAAACAAATGTCATAAAACTGAATATTATGGATCACATTTTTAAAGCCATATAAGGGTGTGTTTATAAAGCAGTAACTGCTTTTTAATTGAATTTTATATGTGGTTAAAATTCTATGCTGAAAGGAAAATGTAGTGGGACGTTTTCAGAGAAGAGTGCTCTGACCATGTGCTTTATCTGGAACCAGGTTCTCCCAACTGACGAATCCGTGGAACATAAGAAGTCCCACAGACAGAGCCATAGGAAGAAGGTTCTTCCAGAGATCTACCTGACACGGCTGCTCTCCACCAAGGTAGGAGCTGGGCTGCCCCCGTTCTGGGCAGGTGGGACTGTTTGTGGTCTGTAGGGAGAAGCCTGCTCATGGAAGGAGTGCTGCAGGGCTGGTTGCCCCCCGAAGGCAGTGGGACTCCTCTCCTGGGTGGCTGGAGCATTTTTAGTGAGGCTGTCAGGCTCCTCGGGGTCACTCCAGCTTCCCCAGCTCATTCTTGCTGCTGTGTGATGCCCCCCATGATCTCCCTGTGATGGACTGGGGTCTGTGCAGACAAAAGGGATTCTGGCTGCCTCAGGGCTCAAGATGCAGAGCTGAGACCTGAACCCATCTCCCCAGAAAGAGATGCTGCTGGGACAGGAGATGGAGATGCTCAGCTGTGGGAGCAAGAGAAATGTCTGTGTGATCTGAGGTCAGATCTGGCCCATCTTTAATCCCAGCGTGGTGCCTCACTGAAGCAAAGATCACAGGGATGGCCAGCAGTCTCTGGTCTTCTCTGTCTGTGGTGTACAGAACAAGCACAGATGTGAGATCCCAGCAGTAAGAAAGAAAATCTCCATGCCAAAAGAAATTAACCCCAAATGCAAGTTTATTATATCACTATCCACAAACAAACTGTTCCCTCCCTGCTTCGGTGTCCCCTCTCTTCTCCCTTATCCAACTGGCAGCAAAGGGTTTTCCCTAATGTGCAGCAGTCACAGCCCCTCTGCTGTTCTCCTGGGCTTGGGTGCTGCTGCTCTCCCCAGGGTCCACTCTGTTCTTGTCCTGCAGGGGACACTCCAGAAGTTCCTGGATGACTTGTTCAAAGCCATTCTCAGTATCCGAGACGATAAACCACCCGTGGCTGTGAAGTATTTCTTTGACTTCCTAGAGGAACAGGCAGAGAAGAGAGGGATCACAGACCCTGACACTCTGCACATCTGGAAGACCAACAGGTTTGGAAAAGGAAATCCTTCTTTTCTTCCTTCCATCTCTTGGGAGCAGCAGCTGCAAAACCCTGGTGTCCTGGACTAATCATTAGATTGCTAAAAGTAGAAGGGGGACTTGGAAAACAGGGAGGGTGGCAGAGAGGGCTGTGAAAGATGAAGCCAAACATAGGATTGGAGAGCTTTGAACAAATATGAAGCCCAGGGGAACAGTGAGCTGAAAGAGGAGGCATGGGCAGACAAAGGGCTGAAAGAACTGGCACACACAAATAATGAAAGGAGAAATAGGATGATTGCAGACAGCAATGGTGTCAGCTGCAAGCACTGGGGATCTGAGACAGAGTCCAAGACCATGTCAGGTCTTAAAAACATAACGGAAATTTAAAAACCCACATATTTGGATCCTTTTCATTTGCTTTTCTGCCTTTTCAGCCCATTAGTGGCACTTTTCCTGCTTATGTCTGCAAGCAGGCTGAGTCTCCAGGGTGTTCAGGGGACCCCAGGAGCGGGTGCTGGTGAGCACCTCAGCAGTGGCACCAGATGGAGTGGTGCTGAGGGACATGAGCAGCAGGAACGGGGTGGAGGAGCCAAAGTGAAGGGGAAATAGGGCAGGAAAGAAACCAGAGGATTTAAATGGAGAGAGCAGAGAGCTTGGAGAGAGTGTCAAGGAGAAGCTTAGCAGTTTGGAGACTGTGAAGACAGGAACTGTTTCCAGCCCAGTGTGTGAAAACTAAAACCAAATTTTACTGGTAAATCAGGCATGCAGATACAACCATTGGGCAACAGATTTGCCTACCCTTTACTACCTTCACTGGCCTGTTAGAGCCAAGACTTACAGTGGTTTTCACCTCTCAGCTGCTGTGGAGGGTAGGAAGGGTGAGCAATAGACTGAAGCTGTGTTGTGGCCAAATCAGCAGTGAAATAACTGAAGGAGAAAATGATGAGAGAACAGAAAAAAAGACAGATGAAATGCACTTCATGGGGCTCACTGTCAGAATCAGATGATGGGTTAGTGTCAGGAAAGAGGGAAAAGGAGGTGACACCATTGCTCCAAACAGCAGCAAGTGGGGAAGCCTGACTCAACAGACCCACACAGGCAAAGCTGCTGGTGCCTGGGAGCTGCTGAAGGAGCAGGGGCATCTGTGTGCCTAGAGAAGGCCACGTGTGCCACGGCCTCCAGCCTGAAAAAATGTCTTGAGGGTGAAGGTGTGTCCCTGCCCCTCTGTCAAGGCAGGGATCTGTACCAGGGGTGATTAAATAGCAGAACCCATCTCCTCAGCTTTCCTCTCTACTACTCCCTTTCTATCATCATCTTTCCTGCATTTCCACCCCTCTTCCTCTGCTAGACAAAAATTCATCTCATGTATGTCCCCGGATCCTTCCCTTTGCAGCCTACCGCTGAGGTTTTGGGTCAACATCCTGAAAAACCCCCAGTTTGTGTTCGACATCGACAAGACAGACCACATCGACGCCTGTCTGTCGGTGATCGCCCAGGCCTTCATCGATGCCTGCTCGCTCTCCGACCTGCAGCTGGGCAAGGTACCTGCAGCCAGGGCTCCTGCTCAGGCAGCCACAGACGGGGCCAGGCAGGGCGGGCAGGGCCTGGCAGAAGTCACCAGCCACAGTGGCCGTGCCCAGCGTGGGGCTGGAGGCCGGTGGGCTCAGCTGAGCCTGCTCCAAGCGAGCACAAGACTCCCTGAGCCAGGTCCCATCTCCCACCCTCAGGCCCCAGGAACAGCCCCTAAGGCTGGCAGGCAGGAAGACATCCCATGTGCATATTCTCTTTTCTCCCACTGCCTTGGCTGAGCACAGTGCTGACATTTGAAACTTCCTGGCATAAAAAAGTTTTATTAAGAAATGCTGCAAGTCACCCACACTGCCCCCCACCCCAGAGGCTGGCGGTGACAGTGTGTGACTTGGGGGACACCCTGCAGTGTGGGGGTGGGCACTACACCCCCAGCCCCAGAGCTGCAGGAAGCCTTTGTTGGGAGAGGTTAGTGCTGGAGGAAGATCTAATGAGTGCTTGATTTTTTGTTTGGAAGTTTTATTAAGAAATGCTGTAAGTCACCCACACTGTCCCCCCCACCCCAGAGCCTGGCGGTGACAGTGTGTGACTTGGGGGACACCCTGCAGTGTGGGGGTGGGCACTACACCCCCAGCCCCAGAGCTGCAGGAAGCCTTTGTTGGGAGAGGTTAGTGCTGGAGGAAGATCTAATGAGTGCTTGATTTTTTGTTTGTTTGGGTTTTGGTCTTTTTTTTGCATGTGTTACGAAACACCTACAATTTGTCCTTGTCAAGTGGCAGATGAGGGGAAGAGGGGTCAGCTGGAGTCAGACAGCAGATGGAAACACTTCTCTGAAATACAATAGTATAAGTGAATGAATTGTTGAGTAATGTGGGAAGAATAAATCCCCAGCATAAAAATCAGCTTGCATGTACACGTAGTGTTTCACTGAGCATTTTCCAGACCAGATTCTTCCCTTGGTTTCAGCACGTTGCTCTCGATACTGCAAATGTGAGAGCAGACTCAGTCCACACATCGACAGCGCACAAGCAGTTAAGAAACCAGTGCCCATCTCTTCATTATAGAGATAAATCAGACACAAATTAAAAAATAACTTAGAAAAGAGGCAGCATGGTTTTCCTTCAATGTTTCCAAGGAAAAAAAATAATGCTATGAGCAGGCTGTCTGTAAGTTGGCCATAGTCTCACAATGCCTTGTCACTGGGTTTGAAAATAAACTGCTGTGGGATCTGGTGCCCGTTTCCTGTTTCCCGTGCAGCGTTAGCCAAGCTACAGATTGCAGCAGCAGATTGGAGTCACCCCGGGCTCCCCTATTCCTGCCTGACAGAGCCAAGCATGCTGCCCGTGGGCAGAACCCAACACTCCCTGCCATCAGCAGGGCCCCTCCGCTCTGCACCTGTCAGAGCGCTGGGGAGCAGTCCCGCACACTGTGTCGGGGTGGCAGGACAGGACACGGTGATCTCACTCCCTTTGGTGTCCCCAGGCCTGGGGCCATTCCCTTTGGGGATGCAACACGAGGCTAGTCAGCCAAGTTCATTCCTGGGGTAATGAAATCAGGAGGGCAGGATTGCCTTGAGGTTAAAATTATTCATGCTGTGTTTGCAAGGAGGGCAGCAGGGTTGTGCCTCCACTGGTACGGCCCAGTTGTGTGGCTGGGAGGTTAAGGCTGCTGTCTTCCAAGCTGACATTAATCAAGAGAATTCAGTATTCTCTGTTAATTACTTTACGTGCACTCAATTTAGGCCAGGCAGGCTGGATTAGCCAATGCAAAATAAATCAAAGCTACATGAAATATCCAAAAGCAACATTTCAGCTGACAAAGTTCAACTTGTAAGATAGCTTTGTTCTTTAGCTTAAATCATTGCGGCTGCTGAAGAAACTCCAGCAACTACGTGCAGAAGCCCTTCCTTTGTTTCCAATTTCCACACACAGCACCACAGAGCCCAGGTGTTTGATGTGGCACAGGTGTGCTACCTCACCTGCAGAGCATCCCCTGGCAGCAAGCCACCCTGCCTGATGCTGGGTGTGCTTTTCTCCTGCGTTCGCTGCAAATTAAAACACACACCCACCACCCCTTCACTGGCATTGAGCTGATGGATGTTCAGCTCATGCAAGGGCAGCAGGATGGTGCTCTGTCTCCACATGGTGCCCATCCACAGATCCCTGATGTGTCTCAGCCGTTCCATGCCTCGGTGCTGTCCGGCACCGCAGTCCTCCCCGGTGACAGCTGGGACCAAAGACAAAGCTGTTCCCTGCACCCAGCTGCAGCTGAGGTTCCTATCTGGTGTTGGTGCTTGGTCTGAAAACAGGGTAACGTTTTCAGCTGGGAACAAGCCCAGTGCCTGAGCTCAGTGTCTCGCCCTAGGACTCCCCGACCAACAAACTGCTGTATGCCAAGGAGATCCCCGAGTACCGGAAGATAGTGCAGAGATACTACAAGCAAATCCACGACATGCCCCCTCTGAGTGAGCAGGAGATGAACGCCCACCTGGCCGAGGAGTCACGGGTAAGCGGGTGGAGAGGATGGGGTTGAGTCGGCAGTGTCCTGCTGGAGCCTGGCAACAGCAGGGGATGCACATAGGCTGCAGTCAGCTACTGCTTAAATGCTGGAAGGAGCACACAAGAACGGATATTTTGCCTGAAACTTCCACACACAAACTTCATCTGACCTAATTCCAAGCATCTTCAATTACTGCCAGAGCTGCAGTAAAGACCCATGAGTTTGCTTGAGCCTAACTAGCTCTGGCACCACTGGGAGTTGAGAGCAAAATTCAGTGCCAAAAAGGCAGGAAGTTTGGACGAGGATTTTTGCAGTCCCACAGCCACCCAGCCAGCTGGCTCCCAGGCACAACTGCCAGGGACAGCCCTGAGTCCCAGGCAGCCAGCCCTGGTACCAGCCTCAGGAGCTGGCAGACACATTCCAGATCAGAGTCCTGCCAGCGATGCACCACAGGTTCCTCAAAATCAAACCTTCTCGCCAGGGTGTTTTAGCTTTGGGCACCAAGTAGGATTTTTTTCTTGATATTCTGCAGCACAGCTGGTGCACTGTCCCCTCTTGTGACATGGCTTTGGGCACAGAGGGATATACAGTGCTGCCCAGCGTGGGTATTTACAGCTGGCTTTGGAAAGACCAAGACCCATCCTGATGCAAGTAAATGCACCTTCCTTAAAAACCCAGCTGTACCAATAAAGTCAAGCACAACCTGCTTTCACCATAGTCAGTCCCAGCTGGCTGGGTTGGAACTCACGTGCTCCATCCTGCTAATATTGTCCCTCTCTTTTCTGTCTTTATAAAGAAATACCGCAATGAGTTCAACACCAACGTCGCCATGGCTGAGATATACAAATACGCCAAGAGATACCGCTCCCAGGTGAGTGGGGCTTACAGCACAGGGCTCTGCTCTGCCTGGCAAGGGAGGAACCACCCTGCAGTAACCCCGCAGGCAGACACCTGCATCCAGTCCCACAGAGCAGGATTGTTGGGTGTGCATAATTGCAGAACGTATGTAATACATGCATATGCAGATGCACCTACTCTCTGTGCCTTGGCTGGCAACTTCTTGGAAGAGAAGGCTGGCTATTCCCAGCCTTCTGATCTTAATGGCATTTGGTTGGGCTGAAGAAGGGCTGCCAGATGTATAGACCTTTTCAGGAGAGCAAAACATACAGATAAGGTCACCCCCAAATTAACTTGTGCCTGCTGTCCCTGCCCCACTGAGGCAGTGGCCCTGGCTGGTTCCTGCCTCCCTGCAACCTGTGGGCTGGTGCTGTCCCTTCAGCTCTATTACAACAGTGCATTTTTGTCATGTATCACTCCACTCCTAGCCCTGACCACGGACTCTAGGAGAGCAGGGGTGTGAGCACAGGGGCTGTGGGGCTGGGTGGGCTCTCGCCTTTGGAGCTCTGGCTGGAATTTGGGCTCCATACGTCTGGTGGGGTGAGCTGGGCTGGCAGGTGGGCACCCCACACTGCCTCAGCACCCTGCCTGCCTGTGTCTCCCACAGATCGTGGCCGCCCTGGATGCAAACCCCACGACAAAGCGCACCCAGCTCCAGCACAAATTTGAGCAAGTGATTGCTCTCATGGAGGACAACATCTATGAGTCCTGCAGTGAAGCCTAGGCTGGCTGCAGCCCTAGAAGTGACCTTTCTTGCAGCACAGTGCCGCAAGGGACCCTGCCTTCAGCCGCAGGCATACCTTGGTCATACTCAAACCAGCCTTGTGGAGGGGGTGGGCCTGGCCATGGCTACGAGTTTGCCTCACTTCACAAGAAGCCACAAGACACCTTTCCGAGCAGCTAAAACTCTTCTGGTCTGCACTGTGGCACCCATAATTTATTTGCTCTTGCCAGCCAGAAATGGAGTCATGACCCTTGTGGCAAGCCCAGTTCACCACTTTCCCCTTGGTCAGCACCCAAGCCGTCAGCACTCCGTGCATCCCTGTGCGTGGTTCCTCGGGACGGGGCTGCAGAGGCTGGAACAACAGACACAAAGCAGAAGGGTCACCTCAGGGAGTAATGACCACAGACAGCAAAGACCATCATAGCCTGAGCTCCCACGCCATCCCTCCAACATCCTTGTTTTTCCAACATCAGGGACTCTTATCAGCTGTTCACTATCTGCTGCATTCTGTGTATATTTGTGCCTTTTAATTTTTGTACTGTATGTGTAAACATAACCACTCCTCCATCTGAGACTTGGGCAGCACAGGGAACTCAAGGCTGAGACAAAGCAGTTGCTTCCCAAGCAGCTAAGGCAAGGTGAAAGCACTTTATCCCTAATGGAGGCAGCTGTTTGGGAGCTGCAGGGAGCCCGGCGTGTGCTAGCACGGGAAGGGCTGTTCCCCCGTGCCTGGGCTCTCCTGTGTGGCTGGAACACAGAGGGGAGGTGAGCGCTCCACCAGCCCGCCGGCCGCGGTGCCGCGTGGGGACGGGCCTGCCCCTCGGCGCTCCCGCCACGCTGGCTCCACGCGTGTCCGTGGCACCGCGGCCCCGTGGCGCTGCTCGTGCCCGTGGGGCCTGCCGGCAGCCCTGACCGCGCCGCAGGCCGCACGCCGGGCAAACAGCGACAGCACTGCCTCTGCCTCTCCCTGTGAGCGCCACCAGACACCAGGCCAGGCCTGCAGAGGTGTCTCCTGAGGCAGCTCATTCTGCTTGCTTTGGGCCCAGCCCCGTGGTGGCACCTGAGAGCAGCAAGGCAGCGGGCTTGGCCGCACGGCCAGCCTGTCTTCAGCCCTCCCAGCCACTGCCAGCCCAGCGGTGACACAGGCCAGCAGGGCATCTCCAGCACCCGGAGCTGCAAACTGAGGTAGAGAGTGTCCCAGCTAGGCTGGGGTCACTGAGAGGCTCCAGTGGCAGACAAATGGAGCTTGCCTGACACTAGAAACGCCAGTGCCACCCTGCCAGCCCAGCTTGGTGGCCTGTTCTCCCTCCTGCAGCCTGGGGAGCTGTGGTTGCTCCAGTGTCACACAGCCCCCCGTGGAGGCTGGACACAGCCACATGCTCAAACCAGCACTCCTGCACGGGCAAAGGCTCCTGCCCACAGGGCTGACCGCCGCAGCCACTGCTCCAGCTGCCAGGAAAGAAACACAGTCACTACCTCACTGCAGGAGGGTGTAAGGGAAGCTTCTGGTAGCCATGCAGCTGGCTAGGATGCTTCTGGCATTGGATGACTTCGTCCACCAAAACTCCTGGGTGATTCACTGCCATGGACAGGTGGTCTCCATTCCATCATTTCCAGTAATGCCACATTTGTCAGAAACCAGAACATCAGAGTTGTGTATGTGTACATAGATATCTATTTTAAAACAAACAGTAGACTTTATCCAGTATGTTAAAAGGTGGGGAGGGAGGGGAGGGAAAGGGGAAGAACAGAGTTTTTTTAAAAGAGAACTACAGAAAAAGTACTTACACTGTGGAGGTCTCAATGTCTTTGCTGAGGATGTGGCTTCAGAATAGAAACTCTAAGAATGTAGCTGGGCTACATTTTATTTTGAAAGTGATTTCACAAAAATTTCTTGATGTTTTTGTCTTTTAGAAACTGTGAATAGCTGCCAGAGATGTAGGCAGGCCCAGCACAAGAAAGGCCAGGGTGAGAAGGACCAAGGTAGCAGAGAATGTTGAGCTTGGCTGGAGGCAGGGAGAGGACCATGGAGCTATAGGCCCATGTTGTTTATTACAGGGAAAGGATACAGGTGAGCTAAGAGTAAGTAGAGTTTGCCTCCAGGTGTTGTGGCTGGGCCATGTATTGGAGCTATTGTTTTATTATTTAATTCTTTTCCAAAGCCAAAAAAAAAGAGGAAAAAAAAAAGAAAAAGAAAAGAAAAAAAGAAAAAAGAAAAAGTAGTTGCTACAACCATTTAAAGGAACAACTTTAGCAGAGGGTTTGTAGTGTTGCCTTGAACCTCCAAGCCCTTTGTAAGATGTTTTTAAACTTTGGCACGTGTTGTGGGTGTAGTGCCCTTACCTGCTGTGTAGTGGAAGTGGCAGACTCCTGGCAAAGCCTATCTTTGTAATAAAACAAGGTGCTGAACGTGTGGTGTGCATTTCCTGCAAGCACACGGGGAGGACACACGTGGATGACACGTGCACAGACAAGTTTTGCACATGACCCCCACATGTGTGGGGTCAGCAGTGCAGTGGGAACAGGTTTGTACCCTCACACACACCGCTCCCACAGCCAATGCCCCAGTTCCTCCCTGGACCAGGCACGGGAGGGGACTGCCAGCATGAGGACAACAGCGCCTGAAGTGACCAGCGCTGGAGATCAGTAACCCACAGGAGCAGCTGCTGCCAGGCACCCTCTCCTCTGGCAGGTGCCTGCCTGCACCAGGCTTGGGTCTGCAGCTGCAGCACCCCGACACCAGCTGTGGCCCAGGGCCCCTAATAACCACGGCATTGCTAAATCTTCCCCTGCCCTAGTAAAAGCTGTGCTTTCCAGACACCAGAGGGATTTTCTTCTTCCACTAGGAAGTTGCTTCTTTGCAAAGCTAAATCCAGCCATTAAATTATTTGGCCTCTCTCAAAGCAGGAGAGCTTTGCATGTCACACCTGGTGGCTGGTGAGAGGGAGGACACAGTCCCTGCCTGGCGCAGTTGGGGACACTGCCACACGTGAGTGGTGCTCTGTGAGGCCACCCCCGTCTGAGAAGCCAGTGAACTCCGCTCACTTAGTGCTGCCACATTCCCCACCCTGTCCCTGGAGGGACACGAGCTCCAGTTCCATTAAAGATGGATCAGTACAGAAAGGCTGAAGTTTAAGGGAAGTTAGTTTGCTCAGCTCTTGCTTAAGCCCCAAAGCAAGGCCAGGAGCCTTGGAGGGCAATGGCAAGGCCAGTTGCAGATTAACAAAATCCTCTTTGGAAAGAGTTTTACTTCCACTTATTTTCTCCCACCCAGGAGGACTGTAACCCTTTACACGATCAGCACGACCTTCAGAAGGGCCCTGCTCTGGGCAGAGCAAGAGGAATTCAGGCAACTGAAGCTATTAAATGGAAGTGTGATACACTGATCCACGGGAGCTCACAAGAAAAGTTTGTAGGTGGGAACTGTGCCATAGACTGGCAATAAGAGCATGAGCTGCACTGGAGGCTACAGTAACACCCCAAACTTGATTTTTGAGCCCCTAAGGCACCTCTGTCTTCTCTTACTGTAGTTAAAGCACGGGCTGCTTCACCTCTGCTGGGAGACACTTGCCCATGGCATGCACCCAGACCTGCTCCCTGCTGCTCCTGTAATCCCAGCTCAGGCAGGCATTAGCACAAGGGCAGCCAGGACAGCAGAGGGCTGGACACACAGCCCGTGGGCACCATGGCTCCACAACAGCACCGGCCAAGCACGAGCTTCTCTGCTCCTGGGGATGTCACCATGCTGTGTCCCATGGGTCTCGGGGTCCCTGCCCATCACCTGGCACACTGTCATCCTGCACACACACAGCCCCCAAGCCCAGCAGCCCCTTGGCACCACAGCTGGGGACACATGGGGACAGAGAGAGAACCTCTCAGTGAGGGCAGGCAGCAAGGCAGCTGCCTGCAGCATCAGCTCACCACCATGCCATGCAGGCTGAGGAGAGGGCTAAGGGATTTTGGCACTGAGATGGAAATGCAGGGACAGGGACCCACAACAGTCATGCCATTTCTTGAGGCAAGTAAAGAAGCTTTATTAGGGTGAGGACAACACAGAGTTAAAACCTGTCCTAGAGACAGAGACCAGCACAGGCCCCAAGGTCCTGGGGCCAGCAGAAGCAGGACCAAGCTCCCTATGGAGCCTGTCTGTCTGCTGCCACAGGGGCTGCCTTCTTCTTCCTGGCCTTCCCCTGCCCAGCTCCTGCAGTCACCCGGGGCTTCCTCGCCTTATCTTGACCTCCCTGTGCCTTGGGGGCCTCCTGCTGTTCCTTCTTGGGCACCTTCACCTTGCTCTTTCCCCGGGGCACCTTCTGGGGCCCCTTCACCCCAGCACTTCCAGAGCCGTCGCTATCGCTCCCTCCCGTGTTCTCAGCAGCCTGAGCTGTGCTGGGTCCTGAGCGTCCTTTTCGGGGGGCCTGGCGGTGGCCAGCAGCTTTTGGGGGCCCTGAAGGCCCCGGGCCATGAGCCTGGGGCCGGTCAGCAGTTTGGGGATGCTTCACTCTGTTGCTCCTGGGCTTCTCTGCTGCTCGTGGCTGGGCCTGGAGGGAAGAGAGGAGAGCCCCTCAGGGTGTTGCTGTGCCGCGAGCCACCCAAGCCCGTGCTGGCCCCGACTCACCTTCACGGGCTTGGCCTTCGGCTGCTGCTTTGTGGCACCTGCGGAGGGAGGGCAGCGGTGAGGCCAGGCCAGGCCAGGCCGTGTCAGCTCGCTCCCAGCACCCGCAGCCCTTTACCTCGCGGTCGTGCTCCTGCCACGGGGGCCTGGGGGTCCTTGGTGGTCCCTTTCTGTGCTGGCTTTGGGGCCTGTTCCCCATCAGGATCTGCCTGGCCCAGCTCCTGCTTGTGCCCTGGTTTCTTGCGTGCTAACTGGAGGTGAGAGAGGGGTGTCAAAGGGCCGGCCAGCACCTCAGTCCCCAGCGCTGTGGCTGCAGCAGCCTTTGCTCACCTTGAAGGTGCCGGTGGCCCCCACAGCAGTCGAGTTGTGGGGCCGCACCAGGTCCCCGCAGCTCAGCCCCTTGCTCAGCGCCTGCTTCAGCAGGTACTTGAGGCGGATGGGGTCCACAGTGGGGTACTTCTCCAGGATGAAACGCTTGATTGCAACAACAGAGGCACCCTTCCTCGCATCGTGGGCCCGCAGTGCCTCCTTGACCATCTGCAGGGTTGGAGGGTGGTGGGCCGGATGGCGTGGGACGATGCCAGCAGCTTTGGCCGCTGGAAGAGGGACCATTTGGGACTGAAGTCCAGTCCTGAGACATTCACACCCCCAGCAGCCTCAAAGCCCCCAGAAGCCAAGCAGCCACAGCCCTGCTCATCCCTGCAGCCCTCCCAGGGAGCAGAGCCACCATAACCCAGAGCATGAGCCAAGCTCCAGCTCTGAGGGACCCCACAGCACCTGCAGAAGACCCCCTTACCCAGCTGAGGCTCCATGGCAGCACACAAACCCAGGCAGTCACAGGCACCTCCACCCACAGCAGCACAAACTCTACTGCCATACCTAGC